AAGTCAGTTTTTTGGATCAGTTGTTTACGTTTGGCCTTTTTCTTCTTCAGATCTGGCACCACACCTTCTACAACGAGCTGCGTGTGGCCCCCGAGGAGCACCCCACCCTGCTGACAGAGGCCCCTCTCAACCCCAAGGCCAACAGGGAGAAGATGACCCAGATCATGTTTGAGACCTTCAACGTCCCCGCCATGTACGTGGCTATCCAGGCTGTGCTGTCCCTCTACGCTTCTGGTCGTACCACTGGTGAGTTTGAAGAAATACTGGTTAAAAGTTATGGTATATGATAAAAAAAAACATCAATACCACAATAGAATCAATATAATAAGTTGTATACTATTGACATTAACATATTGTCTTGCTGTGTGCAGGTATTGTGCTTGACTCTGGAGATGGTGTGACCCACAACGTGCCCATCTATGAGGGTTACGCTCTGCCCCACGCCATCATGCGTCTGGACTTGGCCGGTCGCGATCTCACCGACTACCTGATGAAGATCCTGACTGAGCGTGGATACTCCTTTGTCACCACTGGTACGAGTCCACACATAATAAATGAAAAGTTACAGGGGTAGGGAGGCAAAAGAAGAAGGTTTTCATGAGAAATACATACTGATAGTGCAAAAAAAAATATTACAAATACAAAGAATACATTTTTATTGATACAATGCACTTCATACACAAGTTAACTCAATGTGAATACAGTAAGTAAGTATTTTTAAGTTTTTTATTCAGATGTCTTACCAAATAATACTTAGACTCAGTACAGGATAACCAGTCAAAGTGATTGAATAGTGATATAAAATTGTGTTACTTTACAGGTATTTCATAAATTTTTTGTTATTAGTCAAACAATGCTTTGGTTATTGTTCTTTTTTGAGTAGTTCATGTACTTATACTAGTACTAGTTGGTGATATCGTATCATCAAAAGTCTCACAATAATATCGTGAACTGCCACAATATATATCGAATTACAAGTTTCCTTTGCTTAAATGCTTAAATGCATGGTTTTATAGTAGTATGAACATCAGAAACTACATATCCCATGATTCATTTCACTGCAGACAACATGAAGAAATATATTTTTTTACTTGAATTTTTAGGATTATGACAGAAATAATTCACACCAAAATCTTATCAAGGTATTTTAAAAGCAAAAAAGTGTCCCATCTACAATTGCATTAGCCTCTTGAAAATATCACAATAAATATCGTACCGTGAGATTTGGATATTGTTACATCCCTAGTTACTGGTACTTATTTACTTACTACTATTTATTTTTAAAAAATTCATAGATGCTTTTTACTTTTACGTATACAAATTTGGCAGCAGTACTTTTTCTTGTAAGTTATTATGTTCTTAAAGATATAACTGTACTTTTACTGATTAAAAATATTTGAAGTACTTCCAGCACTCTCTGTAAATAACTCAAACACAAACTGCCAGCATTCAATATCCTAAGTCTAATCCACTCACTCCAGTCGATTAGTGTCAGCAGTAGACTAAGCAGGAGCAGCCCATCCATCACTCACTTGGATGCTTACTGACTTAAATGTCTCGTCTGCAGCTGAGCGTGAGATTGTGCGCGACATCAAGGAGAAACTCTGCTACGTGGCTCTGGACTTTGAGAACGAGATGGCCACCGCTGCCTCCTCTTCCTCCCTGGAGAAGAGCTACGAGCTGCCCGACGGTCAGGTCATCACCATCGGAAATGAGAGGTTCCGTTGCCCCGAGACCCTCTTCCAGCCTTCCTTTATCGGTATGTTACTCCCAGTTTAGATCAGTATTAGAATGTATTTATGAACTTACTTACAGATATTATTATTATTTATTCATAGAAGTTATAGGTTTTCTTCAACAATTCCTGTTAAAAATGTAATTATCTAAGCATTTTAATTTCAAACTATTTAAATTTTTTTTCAACATCTGCAAAATTTCCACATTTAACCCAAAAAATAATTATGTGTTTATATTTATCATGGGTTTCAGCTCCATTTTGAGGGCTTTTTTCCTTTAAAAACATGTAATTGTTAATCGCTATTGCATCTGTCCTAATTTTTCACCATATATTATTGTAAACTCTGAAATTAGTTTGTAAGATCAAATAATAATGTTCTTTACAGTTCATACACTCTTATAGTTCACTTATAGACTCCTTTGTGCTTTGAGCGATACTTACTTTTGATCTTGTCCTGCAGGTATGGAGTCGGCTGGTATCCATGAGACCGCCTACAACAGCATCATGAAGTGTGACATTGACATCCGTAAGGACCTGTACGCCAACAACGTGCTGTCTGGAGGTACCACCATGTACCCCGGTATCGCTGACCGCATGCAGAAGGAGATCACCGCCCTGGCCCCTAGCACCATGAAGATCAAGGTATTATTTATTTGTATTTATTTATTTATTTAAAACAAGGACAGTGCACAGAAAACATTAAAATCAGAGAGAAAAGATGCTCTGTGCCTGATTTTGCTATAAGCTACAGTCATCAGCATCTGTAGTCCTTGGGCAGGTACAAGAAGAAAGGAAAGGAATCTATTTACATTTGACCAACTCTAGCAACAACTTTTCATCATAAACAGTGTCTCCTTAAAATAACCTTTATCCAGTTCATCATTAAACATGTACAACAATCAAAATTAATTAATTCTAATTTCCATAAGTAGAGAAGAGCCTGCAAAGACACTCAAATGTCATGGGAAGAATTTTTAGATAGGCTACAGTGAATAATGTCAAAAATTATGACTGAAAATGAATGTACCAGTACCTTAAAGGCCCAATGTAGGGCTGCTCGATTATGAAAAAAATCATCACGATTATTTTGGTCATTACTGACATCACAATTATTCAAACGATTATTTTTTCATTAAAGGATGCATTTATTCACGATTTCTCTCTCTCAATAAAAAAAACCAAAACACTTTGTTACTGATAATTTACACATTTTACTTTCAAACTGAAAATAAATCCAGGCTACAAATATGAACCTTAGAGCAGTTTTGCAATGTATAAAGCATAAAATGAAGAAAATATACTTTGAACATGAGATAAGGCATAGAAAAACATAAATGTATCCACAATAAACTATATATCCAGCTGTTCTACAATCTCTATATTTAAAAAATAAAATAAATATATTTAGTTATATAAAAAATATCCCAAAATAAACTGTTAAGCTTAAATCGTTTCAACTTGATTATGTGAGTTTGGAAATCGTTTGATACACAAATTTAAATCGCAATCAAAATTCAATTAACTGCACAGCCTTAGCCCAATGTGTAACCCATAAAAATAGACTAGAATCAATTTTGGATGTTTTTATTGCACTGAAAAACCTGTGTCCTTACTATGAGCGGGCTTCACCTGCTTGTCTCCATGAAATTTGTTTAGAATCATGCGCATTCCAGAAAGTTACATGGTCTTGCTTTAAGAATCAGGAGTTTTAAAACTACCTTTCTCCCGCATATATTCATGTTTTATTATTTTAGTGCAGAGTTAGAACAGTTTGTCCAACATAGTCTTACAAACCTTTGCCGTTCTCTCCAGATTATCGCTCCCCCTGAGAGGAAATACTCCGTCTGGATCGGAGGCTCCATCCTGGCCTCTCTGTCCACCTTCCAGCAGATGTGGATCAGCAAACAGGAGTACGATGAGGCGGGTCCTTCCATCGTCCACAGGAAGTGCTTCTAAACCTCTCCAACCGACCAAACAACGAACCAAAGAACCAGCGCCAAAGAACCAACACCAAAGCCCAAGCATTTCCCCTTTCATGTGTTTTTACTGTGCCTTTCTATGCTGTATATACCTGTGCCATTGTAATAAAGATAGATGCTTTTGACAATATCACAAGTGTACAAGAGTCTTTATGCACAAAATAAAAATAAAACTAACTAGAATACCTTATAGATTAATAGATGCTAGTACAAAAGTGGTGGCATCAGCTCAAAAGCCCCCAAACTATAAAGGAAAAGAATCATATGAGATTTATTTTCAGCATCTTAACTCAGATTTCAGAATATGAGGAGGCTTAGATTTAGACAAACTTTATTGATCCACAAAGGAAATTATTTGGACACAGTAGCTCACACATCACAATACAATATAATAATAACAGAGTAAAAAGTATAACTGGTAGTAATAAATACTAAATATGTATCAAAATAAAATAGAAAAGTAATAAAATATAAAATCTCAGCTATATCTGCTCTCAGCTTCATTAAAGAAAACATAAAATACAGCCTTTAACAGACATGTCAAATTCAGGCCCGGGGACCAAATTTGGCCCACAATATAATTATATTTGGCCAGCGTGATCGTATCAAATATGTATTAGAGCTGGCCAAAATTTTTTTATTATTTTATATTTTACTTGTTCTGGATTCAATGTTTAAGCAAAACTATTATTGAATGTTTATTTTAATAAGAAAAGGTTCAACATTACATATCTTGAAAGAAGAGAAAACATGCAGATGCTGTTGAAAATTTTCAATAAATATTTAGTTTGGCCCACGACTTAGTCCCAGTTTTTAATTTTGGCCCCTCTGTGAGTTTGACACCCCTGACCTATAACATTGTAAATCAGAAAGCACTGTATTTATTTCGTAGTGGGCCAAAACGGTGAAAATGTTAAAACTGTTCACATTTCTGTTGACATTTTAATAAAATCAATGTCACAAGCTGCTTAATACACAGTCACACAATTTATCATGATTATTTGTATATTTTTGTTATTTTTGTACAGTCATTGTTGATGTGAATGTGGTGCATCCTGTCTGTTTTCTGTAAAAAAAAATAATAATAAAATAAAATAATTAATAATAAAAAATAAAATAAAATAAATGTATAGCGTGTCACGGACCCCAGGAAGAATAGCTGCTATTTTTCCGTAGAGCTAATGTGGATCTAAATCAAAACAAACAAATACAATCCCAAATTTCCTACCCTCAATATGACCCTTGAACGTCCCTTTACCCAAACCACAGGTGAGCCACATCAGTATAATAACACGACTCCTCCTTCATTCCTCTGTCAAGTACGCGTTTGTTTGTTTTTTATTTAACCTTATGGAGCGAGACAAAACTTTACCTCAAATGTCTACAATGCCGAAAATTTCGGATTGTAACGTGATCCGCTTTCATCTTCAAGTTCTTTACGGGATTACAGTCAAACGGAGTGAGAGGAAACACGACAGATTGTTCATTGGTGGAGCGAGAATATTTGGAGTCCCTTTGGAGAATTTGGCTCGGATTTACATCCCTGATTTTGGCCTGGTTCCTGGGTATGTTACAGCATGCATGGTTGTTTAGAAATGATCTTAATGCATAAACTTTTACGTTCATATTAGGTACGTTTTGCTGATCTGACTTGTGTTTTGCACGTAGTTTTTTGGTGCAGGCTTGTTCCTTGCTGACTGAGCGACTCGCTACTGTTGGACTCTTCAGAAAACCTGGCTCTCTTCCTCGTATCAAGACGCTACGTGTGAGAAATTACTATATTATTTATTTTAATATCATTGCTTGATGGGAATAAGCAAGTAATCATAAAGTCCAGTAGCCTAATATTTCAAGAACATCTGTAATTGGAGAGACAAGTAAAAAAAAATGTAATTAAAGGTCCTAAATCACACAAAATGTACTCTGTAAACTTTAAGCCAGGTTATAATGTTGTTACCTCATCAAAAACATACCTGGAATTGTGTTTTGTTTCATTCACATTCACAGGTTTTGAGTAACACTTTATTATAAATTTGTCTACATCTCCAAAGCTCAAAATGCTCTGTTCAACCTTGTAGTTTTCAAGCGAACAGCTCCTTTAACCTTTAGTTCAGTACAGATTGGAAATTCCAAGTCTGAAATTATCCAAATGATTCTAGTGAAAGTGTATGGAGTTTAAAACCACAGTGGAGCACTTCCTGTAGGCTGTATTACCACATGACAAGGTAGAGTTTTTCTCTTTGAGAAAATAACTCTGCTTTATGCAGGATTTGCATGTTAAGCATGTGAGAGTGAAACAAAACACAACTATGTTTTTGATAAGGAAACGGCATTATAACATAGAATTTAAAAAATAGTGTAATATTGGCCTTAGGGGCAAAATTTAACTGAAATTGTAAGGCAAGACAAGTTTATTTGTATAGCATAATTCAAAGTGTTTTACAGAATAGAAATACATTAACATCACAATACAAACAAATCAAGACATAAATATTCTTCTTAAAATTGGAATGAAAAATGAAAACCTTTCAGTCATATGCACAGCTAAACTGAACTGTTTTGAGCCTGGATTAAACAGTGTCAAAGTAGAGGTCTGTCTAACATCTTCAGGAAGACTGTTTCAGATTTTAGCTGCATGAATCTGAAACGCTGACTCCCTGACTCTGGGCACCAGCAGGAGGCCGGTCCCTGAAGTCCTCAGAGTGCGAGATGGTTCAGATGTACTTTGGTGCTCGGCCATGGAGAGACTTGTGCAGAAGCAGAGTTGCTTTAAAGTCTATTGTTTGAGCCACAGGAGGCAGTGCAGAGACCTGTGCACAGGACTTACATGTACTTCCTAATTTGAGGTCAGGACCCGAGCTGATGCGATGTACTGCAATTGTCTCACCAGCTCGTTTGGAGAGGCCAGTGACCAGGCCTCTCTAAACGGTGGTTTGTACAGTTTCAATGGTGCACAGCTTAATGTGACTTCTATGGAGTACTGTAGTGCAGTAGCAGTACACTACACAAGTTTACACAAATTTAAGGCCCTCTCCATAGGCTATATTAAGAAGATGACTTGGGGAGTTTGATGTCACCCATAGCATTCAGCTCTAGTCAAATGATGCTCATGAGGCTAGCAGTTATAGGGGTAAATTTGGAGCAGAGTTCCATTTTAGGAATCGATTTACGAACGTTATGGCAAAATAAAAACGCCAGAATCATGTAGAGTGGCTTAATACGTCTTAATAACGCTTTAAGATCAAAATGAGGAGCCTGACAGCAGCAGTCACAGAGAGAAGCGTGACTTTTTTCAGTATAAAGTGAATTGGAACCAGAAGCGTGTCCATGTTCACTTCTTATTTAGAACGGGGTGGCCAGCAGGTTAGCCATCTCCATTTATGTATGCAGTTTATCCTTATCCTTAAGTGCTCATTTTCATCACCATTATTCATCTGCAAGTAGGTTAAATGATTGATTGATGATTGATCATGTAGGGAAAAGCATGTGGGCCATCTTGAATAACTTCCACAAAACATTAAAAACATGTCCGTGCTCCCAGGCTCGGCTGAATCGTGGGGAGGACTGTCTATCCACAGCCCTGCCCTATGACGTTGCTACTCTTATAAAGCAGTTCTGCAGAGAGTTGCCGGAGCCTCTGTTCCCCTCTGACCTCCACACGGCCTTACTGAAAGCACAAGCCCTGCCCACACCGCAGGATCGCACCTCAGCCCTGCAGCTCCTGTCCTGTCTGCTGCCTGCCCGCAACTGCTCCACGCTTCACTATCTCTTTGACTTTCTCTGCAGTGTCTCTCACAGGTAATCATGGCTTTAATATTCCTGTTATAGGTGCCATTTTGAGGACTTTTGGAGTGATTTTTTATTTTTTTTTAAGATTTAAGTTAAATGTACACCATGTAACTTTTCCAATGGAGAGTCCTGCCCCATTCGACTAGAAAGATATGTTTAATGCCAATCTACAGAGAAGTTACATGTCAGATTTAAGGAGAGGAATGCCTGCTCACAGTAAAAAGGCATGTTTTTAAAAGGTGTAAAAACGACTGTATTTCAACAAATGCAAGATGTATAGGTTTAATGCCATAATGTGGAACTTGGGGTGAAAGCACTAAAATCTCCATGGAGACAAGATCCCATCAGAAAAGTTGCATCCTCTTCATTTGATTTTTGAACAAATAAACCAGATCATTGGTGGTAGTGGTTTGCATCACACTATAATGTGTTTAAATGTGTTTATTTGCATAAAAGAAGGCCTAAAATGTTGTCATTAATCTAAGTTTTTATTATTTTATGCAAAGAACAGTTTAAAATTATAAAATGGGGAAATGCACAAAACCATTTTTTATTCTTTTAGATGTGATGATAACTTGATGACCAGTTTAAACCTGGCGACAGTGTTTGCTCCGTGTCTCCTGCCTCCTCCAAACCAGTCTGAGATGTCCGAAACCCGCCTGGAGCTCAGAGTTCTAGTACTACGCAACTTCATCGAAAACCCAAATCTATTTGGTACACTTCTTTTTGGGGACACACTTGTTTTGGGAACACTATTTTATGGTGTAGTCTTGTGTACTAATATCTTAGAGTTGGACAAACTTTATTGATCCACATGGGAAATTACATGGACACAGGAGCTCACACATCACAATATAACAAAGAGAAAAAATATAAATGGTAAAAATAAATTCTAAATAAGTAGCAAACATGGCAAGAGACTGTTGTCAAATAGGGCATAATTGTATAAATATATGTACATTGTGTAATTCTGGTTACTAAGATCAAAATTTTCAGGAGTCATCCCCAAGACTGTATTGGACAGTGTGGGGTTTCTGATGGACTCTCCCATTTCTAAAGAATTGCAAACTAAAAGGGTAAACCGAAAAAGACACAGCTTTGCAGGTAAATACTAGACATACATTCAAAACAGTTTAGTTTCTATAAGTTTTTATCCTAAAGCATGTCTTCTAAACATGCAGTGAAAAGACCTGCAAAGACCATCCCATGGATCCAAGTACGGGCCAAGGCCAAAGAGCCTATTTCGGAGCCCACCAAGCCCCCTTCATCCCGGTCAGGACTGAGACGGAGCCTGGGTCAGGAGAACTTTCCCAACCTGCAGGTGTTCAGGAGCTGTCTGGCACGGGAAGGTAAGCACTGTTCAGAAATGGCAAACGTGACATTTAAGTGTGGCTTGTGATGGGAAAATATTGTACCATTTTCAGAGCACAGTTACAAATTATCAGAAGAGGACGACTCCAACAGTGTAGGACAAGAGAAATTAAAAGGGTATGTATTTCTTCCTATTAAGATTTGGCAGTAGTTGGAAATAAAGGTTAAAAATTGACTTTTGTGATCATGTTGGACCGCTGTCTGTTTACATCTCTAAAGCTCAAAATACTGTTCCACCTCCATTTTTCTCAGTAGAGATGGACAATTCTTGGGCTGAAATTATCCAAATGACACTTTCTTCCACCACTGAGCTTTAGGGGTTTTGTTATTCAACTGAATCCTATATTTAGTTGTTTTTTTACATTGTTCTTTCATCTGAGAAACCTTCAATAATAAGTGTGATGTTATTATTGTGTTCGTCTGCTCACCAAAAGGACCAAAGGGCAGGAGGGGCACAGCTCTCCGGTTCTGACTGGAATAGGTAAACTGGCCACTTGGAGAAGACGTACGTCACTCTGAAGAGCAGCCATGATGAAGTCCATGTTTGTCAGCCTGATTCTAACTCTTGACATTGTTAATATGTATATAATGTTTTATATTTATTTATCCAGATTGTATCCGGACTATAACATTTCAATAAATATTTTACTAAATTTTACATTATCATATTTTAATAACAATTTTAGGCTGTATGGGCTGTTCAGATTCTATTACAGTTTGAGCTTAAAGTACCTAGTTTAATAAACAAAAGGTTCAGTAATTGGCATATTTGGAATAAATCCAAAAAGGAACACACACAAAAAAAGCGGAACCTGTAAGAGAATTTAATTTATCCTCCATGCACATCTTTGTTTAACATTGACTCACAGGAGCTATAGTAACACGATCATCTTCCATTTGCAAACCATTATCTAAATTGTGGTGCATTGCCGTCAAACCGGTGCCTACTGGCCTTCATAGTCTCACCAAACTTGCTTTATAAACCTCCTCCTTTGGAAGCATAGACAAGGGGCTTGAACACTCAAAGATCATACTATGGTCACTGTAGTGGACCAAACAGAAAGGCAAAGACAAGGTATAAAAATAAGTTTAAATTTAATAACATCAAAAAGAGATAATTTAACAAAGGCTCAAATTAGGCAAATAATTAACAAAAAAAAGCTGGGACTAACTGCGGTAACTTAAACTGAACAGAACAAAACTAACCCCACCAGACAAAGGAACAGGGGTGTTTAAATACATGAGGACCAACTAAAGCTAAACACAAGAGGGAGGAGTTACACTAAATAATTAACTAAACTACTAACTTAAAGTAACAAGAAGGCAAATAATTACAATACAGAAAATAATAAAGTGACCTTAAAGCAAACTGAACAAACTAACTTAATAAAACCAAATAGTGCTCCCTCTCCCCCTTGTTGAGTCACGATGGTTTCTCCCAAGGGTCCTCCGTCCAGTGCTCAAAGAAGAACAGACTTATATTAACTTAAATCAGAATATAAGTCTAAATAAAGGAATAAAACTATGTAATGTGATTAACTTAATGGTTGGCAGAGCTATCCATCACAGTCCCTTTTGAAATCGTACTATGTGAACTTTTAAAGTCCAGTCCCATATTATTGATGGTAAATAAACCTCTCCTGCTTAAGACATTCAGTTGGTCTCCTGCCTTTTACTTTCATCTTTTCTTGGACAAGCTGAAAACTTCTACAACAGAACCTAATCTTCACTACCACCTGAAGTACATTACAAGAAGTACAATAAACATTTCAAGTGAAATATTATCACTAGGCCTGGATAATTAGGCTGTTAAATCAATTAAGGAAGCAACCAATCTTCTGCGACGTTTCCAGCTTTTTTGTGGTATCAATGGTTTCTATAGCAACGGGGCCTGATGCTGTGAAGTGAAGCAAATCGCATCCTGCAGAGATTATGTAATGAAAAAGGATGCTACCGGAAACTAGACATTGTGCCTTCAAAATAAATGTCTAATGACGTGAAACATAATAAAATGCAGAGTTTTTACAGCGTTTTTGTTTACAATACGCCAGACGTAGATTTATAACACACGAGAAACCAATAAAGCTAAAAATGGTAAGGTGAGATTCAGACTTTTCCTTGTAATGACTTGATTTATTTTGTAATGTAACCGGAAGTAAGCTACCTGATTCTTCCGCTAGTTTGACAGGGGCAGGTGCTGGACCCATCAACACAAGCGGACACGGTGAGCACAACGCACTTATTGTTTTGATGCATTATTGCCTAGAAACTGTATTTAACTAATTAAAATGTGGGCATTGTTAAAGGTTAATTTATTTTCTTTTTGTTAACCGATCGGCCTAACCAGTAATATACATTTTGCTGCTATTTCAAGGCCTATCTTGGGTAAATAAATGCACCTGTGCGCTATAATAACATTGTTGTCATGCAGTGTTTGGTGTCGCAATGCTGTGAATCTAATCTAATCAATTTTTTTTTTGTTTGTTTGCACATTGTTTGCAAATATGATCACGCACTTACGCACCACCATCTTCATCTTCATCATCATTTTCTTCATCTTTCCCCCCCTGCAGGCGTATCGACAGAGATGGCTTCGGCTGCGCGGTTGTCCTTCCTCGGCCTCCTCCTGTGCCTGTGCCCGGGCAGAGCTCCAGCCCGCAGCCCGCGTACGGTAGACCAAGTGTCCGAGGCCGACATCCAGCGCCTCCTCCACGGCGTCATGGAGCAGCTCGGCATCGCTCGGCCCCGCGTCGAGTACCCGGCGCACCAGGCCACCAATATAGTGGGCCCCCAGAGCATCCAGGGTGAGATAAATATTAAACACTGTGCATAACTTGCTTGATTTTCTGAATACTTCGCGTCTGGTTTCATCTCGGATAGTTTTGGATTGAAAATGTTTAGATTATTTAGATATAAAGCTCATTACATATGAACCTGTTGACTGTAGTGCTTCTGTGTGGCCACCAGGCGGAGCTCACGAGGGCCTGCAGCATCTCGGACCCTTTGGCAACATCCCCAACATCGTGGCCGAGCTGACAGGTGACAACGTGCCCAAGGACATGAGCGATGACCACGGCTACCCAGACCCACCCAACCCCTGCCCACTGGGAAAGACCGGTCAGTCAAGTAAATTCAGATGTGAAATAAAGGATCAGTGATGATTTTGAGTGTGAATTATGATGTAAGATTTGAATTGTGTTGTTTAGCTGCAGATGGATGCTTGGAGAATGCACCCGACACAGCAGAGTTCAGCAAAGAGTTTCAGAAACACCAGCATCTGTATGATCCAGAGCATGACTACTCTGCCCTCGCAAAATGGGTAAGAAATGATTTTAGACCTTGTCTGTATAGATATATAAAAGATACACATATTGACACACATAATTTTAAATAATTCTACAGAAGTTAAATAAAGAGTAAACAACTAAACATAAACTAGACGTAACAATAAACGTTTTCATTCTTAATAGCTTTATAATTGAAACTGTATTTATGACATATTTGTGATTATCAGTCAAGCTACCACAATATTTATATGCGCTTCTGAACATGTTTGTGGACATCTAAACCTGTATTTCACAAACTATGGTACTTGTACGTCTATTGGTGTACGGGTCTCTCTGCAGTTTGAGTAGATCTGTTTGTTCTTCAGAGATATATCTACTCATATTTAGTCCTCTTTTGAGATTATCATTATATAGATCTATCTTATCCAGGGTATAATCTCATTTTAGCCAAGGTCTAGTCTCATTTTAGAGAAGATGTTCTTTTTCTGATTCATTCTTATTCTGCATAAAGTAACTTGGGGCCCAGTCTCATTATAAGCATTATATGGGCTCTATTTACACTTACGTCACAAAACCAGTAGACGTTTGGAAACATGTGGATGACGACTTCCTTTGGGCTCTGTTGGCGACAATAACTCTGACAAGATCTGGGTAAACTGAGAAAATGGCCCAGTTTTCTTCATCTAGATGTCATTGTATTCTTTCTTTTTTCCTTGTATAAATTGCCTTTTAATTTGTGTATTATAATTTGTCTAATTTAATTTTAAAAAATGCCTCTTTGATGCCTGTAAGTGTCATCGAAGATGCAATTAGAGTCATCTCCGCCATAGAAAGCTTTGGCAGGTTGTGAAGATGCTGCTGTTAAATCCATGCTTTTATCACATGCCCAGTGTCAGTAATTACAGCAGAAGTTGTCATCTGCATCTGTCTGTCTTCTGGTAAGCATGAATAGAGCCTATTCTTCTCAAATGGTCACCCTGTGGTTAAGAATCACTGTTCTTGAGGATATTTATAGCTCTAAACCTAGCTGAAATATGGTGTGTGACATTTGAGAACCACAAGTCAAAGCAGTACCACATACAACATTGTCAACTTTTTTGAAAGCTTTCAGCATTCAGACAGTTTTTAGTGCAATTTGTGAGCTAATTTGTGAGTTTTAAAGTAATACATGTGTTTTTTTTTTTCTTTTCTTTCCTTTCAGAATAAGGAGCGTTTGTACCAGAAACTGAAGGGGGCACCAAAGAGAAGAAAGAGGGTATAGTGTTTTGTGGTTTATGGTTAAGAACAATGTGGGATAATAAACACAACTACTGGCAATTACTCTGTTTACTTCACACCTAGGCTCTATTAAAAGATGAATTTATGATAAAAATAGAAACATGTTTACATTAAGTAAATTACAAGTGGTTACTATTGGTTTGCCTGTTTAAACTACAAAACTGTCTGATCATGTCTATTGTCATTTATACAGAGCACAAACCCATATTTACAAGGCCAGAGGCTGGACAATGTGGTGGCGAAGAAGTCTGTCCCACACTTCTACGAGGATGAGGAGGAACCCACTGCTTCACCCACCGTCACCCAAACAACAGCCTAAACCGATAAACGATTACACTCCACAGCCCTGGTCACACCTCACTCATTAGAATTTCATCTTATATTAATCAATAATTACAACACAGGTATCGTTAATGAGGACCTACCAGCATGTTGTTTACGTTTTGATCAATTCTGAACGTCAATAATGTTAGAATCAATGTTTGCCCTCACCTGACGTTGTAATCCCTATAGTTTAATATTAAAATAGAGTAATTACCGAGCCTATCCATATGAAAGAAATACTGGCACAAAGTTTCATTTCAAAACTAAAACGGTGCCATTATTCAACCCTAAACATTGTTGTCAGTTCAAAGTACATAAAGACATAAAATTGATTTGGCAAGTTAGTGGATATGAACGCTTTCTATAGGCTAATTATTTTTGTTTTTATTTCAGCACAGCTTTCGTCTACGATAAGGTGATGTACAAAACTGAATCATGTCATTCAAATGTTGTGCAAGCCAAATGAAATTCCTCAAATATTGGCTGTATGTTTTCAGTTTTAATTTAAATTTTGTGTGCACTATAGGCGGACCATCTGTAGCAGTGTGTTCTTTTAGAGAAAGAGAGACACTTTTATCACTGTACAGTAAAGAATAGATTACGTTATTGTCCAACTTTTATAAAAAACCTTAAAATAAGAACTTTGTGTCTTGGGGCAACCTGCAAATATTGTAATAGTTGTGTATATTAAGCTCTGGTATTTCAGAAGAATAGAAAATGTTTTAAACTCAGTTGTAGAAATTCACATAAGGCCTTCATTTCAGTTGCTTTTGTATTTATTTACAGTTGTACAGAGTTCTCAATGGGCAGACAATCTCTTGTTGTTTCTCGGCGGTTTTGTTCTGAAAAGTCAAATAAAGCTTATCTGCATTCAATGTCTGGAGTTTGTGTAGTGTTTTTTTGCCAGAAAGATGAAGATAATCTATGATGTTAGGGGCGTGTTTTAAGCATGAAGATTAGAAAAGGCTCAATTTATCATCCTCAAAGGCACACTATAAAACAAAGGACAACTAGACGAATCTACTGGGATTTGGTTTGGAAAAGTAACAGGTATGTTCATTTAATACTCATGTGTTTGTAAAACTGTGTAAACTTATCCAAACTACTAAATAGAGACAAATATACACGTGCGTATAAGTCGTGCGTAATGGTGCCGCTGCTTAAAATCTGCTTGTAATTTCAGTTTCAAAGATGAGATCGACTTTGGCTGTGGTCTTGGCTCTACTCATCAGCTCGCCAAAAAGCGCAGACGCAGTGACCCTCCAGAGCGCGTTCCCTCATCTCAACAGGCCGAACACTCCAAATGACTCGGAGGGCTGCCTCCAGCCTCCCATCACTGGACTAATATCACGCACGGCCGGAACCGTCTCAACGACCACGGAGGAGGTTCTAGAGTCCAGCCAAGAGGCGCTGTACGTCACGGAGCGTCGGTACCTGCGCACGGACTGGTGCAAGACGCAGCCGCTGAAGCAAACGATCCGAGAGGAGGGCTGTTTGAGCAGGACTATTATTAACCGCTTCTGCTACGGACAGTGCAACTCCTTCTACATCCCGAGACACGTGTACCAGGACGGGGGCGCATTTGAGTCCTGCTCCGCCTGTAAACCTAAAACCTACAGCTCCGTCACCTACACTCTGTTCTGCCCCGGGCAGACGCCCAGCACGCGCAAGAAGAGGGTCCAGCGCGTGAAGCAGTGCCGCTGCACCACCATCAGTGCGGACTAAAGACTATCTGACTTTTTTATGTTAAGAGATTAGTTTGATACAAAAGTCTAAAGAATGGGCTAATTAGATTTTGTACCACGAAAACAGCCCTTTAGCTGTGTTGCTTCTGAAAAGACATTTGTCTTTGCATTGTAGGACTGTTCAGTGTAAAGTCTTGAGCTGCTCCTTTCAGAGCCTCATACTTTTGTCCGGTATTGAGGGTCATGTGCTCATGTAGAGGCTGGTGTAGTTTCCACTGTGTGGAATATAAAGTGTAACAATAATTTATGTGAACTCAATATCAACATGATAATAAACTTTTTTTAATGACAAATAATTATCAGAACCTTTATTTTAATATTTTGTAGGACACTGTAAATGAATGATTGAGTTAAGCATCTTTGCACTAAATAAACCTTTAGTGCAAAATACTATTAATAAAATCATCGTTTGACAATAATAGTTCATATAATCAGATCTGGTGGCATGGTTCCAAAGACAGGTTGGCTGAAATAAACCCTAGTCACTGGTTAAACCTCAGCAAACTGAGACTGAATCGTGATGTAGTCTGGATAGTATAACAACTAGTGCTGTCATGCGATTAAAAAAATTGAGAGATTAATTAATTATGATCTGTAATTAATTAATCTAATTAATCTAATTTTAATCTCACCTAAAAATTGCTGAGAAAAGCCTTCAATATGAGGTATTTTCATTTAAATTCATTATTACATTATTGTGGCAGATCAAAAGACTAATATAGATTTAAAAAAGTGACTTTATAAAGTCATTTATTGTTTAACAAATTTCTCCAAATTGTCTGTTGAGCCCAAGTCTCCATGAATAAGAAACTGTTTACTGTAAAGTAGCAAAGACGAGGAAATCTGAACATAATAACTTTTGTTTACTTAAAGACAATAAAAAGTCCAGTCTTTCCTTAACCAGATTAAAAATATTATTGATAGAGAAATGCTTTATATATGAGATCACTGGTTTTAGTCCTTGTTTTAGTCCTGGTTTAGACCTGCTTTAGTCCTAGTTTAGTCCTGGAATGGATTAATCCTGTTTTAGTCCTGGTGTTAGTTCTGATTTAGCCCTGGTTTAGACCTGGTTTTAGTTCTGGTTTTAGTTCTGGTTTAGTCCTGGTTTATTCCTGGTTTAGACCTGGTTTTAGTTCTGGTTTTAGTTCTGGTTTAGTCCTGGTTTATTCCTGGTTTAGACCTGGTTTTAGACCTGGTTTTAGTTCTGGTTTAGTCCTGGTTTAGTTCTGGTTTAGTCCTGGTTTAGACCTGGTTTAGACCTGGTTTAGACCTGGTTTTAGTTCTGGTTTAGTCCTGGTTTAGTCCTGGACTGGTTTAGTCCTGGTTTAGTCCTGGACTGGATTAGTCCTGGTTTAGTCCTGGACTGGATTAGTCCTGGTTTTAGTCTTGGTGTTAGTTCTGGTTTAGAGGTTCACAGGAGGAAGCGCGGTTTACGCAGCGTAGCGAGAAAACACGATCCACACGCGGCGCACGGGAGCACGTCGGTGTCCGCGCAGTAACTACGGAAGGAAACGTGGTCCGCGCGTTCTCAGGTTAATGATGATGATGAAGGTGTGTGTTTGTGTTTGTGTGTGTTTGTGTATGTTTGTGTGCGTGTCCCCTCATGTGGCAGGTCACTATAGGACAGTAGTGCAGACATCATGAGTCTATGCAGGTTGTTTTCACCAGTGACATTTAAGTTGTAGGCGATTTTTATATTTATTTTCTTTTATATTTCACGTCGGGAGAATAATTTCCAAGACACGAATGTGTTTTTTACCTGTGCACTGCTGCCTCTGTTCTACTGGCTCTTCGACTTCGTCCATTGTGCGACAGACGTTTACATCGCTCTTACTGCGCGCGTTTTGTGTGGTTTTCCGGCAATGAGTGGAATTACCGAAATAAAAAAAAATTATAAATGTGTTGTGTGTGTGTGTGTGTGTGTGTTGTTGTCCCAACAACACATAAAAACAGGTTTTATAATAAAGCAACTCGCATACAGAAACAGTAAAATTAGAGATTAAAAATGAGATTAACGCGATTAAAAAACATAACGCGCTAAATATGACTGTAATTAATTAATCGCAATTAACGCGATAATTTGACACCCCTAATAACAACACAAATTTTATCACTGCCAAAATAAAAACAAACAATATTCAAGAGTTGTTTCATCTTTTGGTGAATCAAATGAGCAGGCCCACACTGATTCACAATATATGAAATAAATTAACCTTCAAAAAGCCTGTCGGTCTCACTGTATGGTAGTAGTACAATGTTAACCAAATCATATACATCATCTTTAACGCTCTAAAATGCCCTGTAGACTCAAGTGATGAAAATACCATCACACATGTAACTCAAACTCATGATAACAATACACATTAGTCATTTTTTGGCCCAATGTGTCTGTCACTACATCCTTTGCTTCACCTGCGCTCTATGGCTCGTCCCATCTGTGGATCAGAGGAGCCAGTCTGCCCAGGCAGCCATAACAGAGCCCTCCTCCTCCTCCTCCTCCTCCTCCCTGCCCCCATGCCCCACACTACATCCACATCTGCAGATAAGATTACAGAAGGATACTGTTGTCTAAACTGTTCTTTGTGCCTGTACAGCGGGTCAGTGGTTCTTTTGTCTGTCCTTTGTGGCAGTAACAGTTAGTTTATGTCGGAGTGAAGAGGGTCAAAGAGCCTCATGTAAACACAAACTGATCTCATGGAAACAAAATCTAATAATAAGGTCAAGGTGTCATTAGTATTATTAACAGCATTATTATTTTAGAGGAGGTTTCTTCAGTTTTCACAGCTGATGACTTACCTGTTGGAACCAGTCACACATTGTAACTTAGAGTAATGTCAGTGAAGTGTCTTGCCCAGAGACACAACAACAGCATGCATCTGGGCTTGATTTCTAACCAGCAAACATCTGGATACCTTTCCACCTTTCCACATCACATGCTGAAGTTAAATGGATAGCTTTAATTTTTGGTGAAACAAAGTACACATGAGAAAACACAAGCACTTGGAATAAGTGTGTTTTTCTTAATTCAAGCAACATTTGATTTTGTTTCATATTTTAAGTGCAAAAAGCTTTCATGTTCTAAGTGTAGCACCATGTATTTTCATATTTTAAGTAGTAAAAAAAATCTCGTTCCACTGGCAGATAATTTTACTTGTCAAGTGATCAAATCATGATAAAACTTTCTTAATTCAAGTTATCTTAATTTGGCTCAGTTTAGTTTTTTGCAGTGCATTGTCCCATTGGTCTTTGTTCTTCTACATAAATTGAGACTGACTATTAAATTAATGTTAACTTGTCCTGTTGTTATTCCAACTAAGTCAATTTTTTCTTTATCAAAGTAAAAGGATTAACAGAACATCACACAGAGAAGTGGCTATCTTTAAAACAAAACTAATTAACCAGGTTGAGGCATGTACAGTAGACTTTGTGAGAGCTTCTGTAGACCTACTCTAAATGTGCTGTTTCCATAAATTATTCTGTCATCTGTACAGAGTTGAGAATGTGGATTTTAAGACAAACTCCAGAAAGGTTGTTGATGTACAGTGAGAAGAGTACCGGATTGATCCTTGTGGCACACCTGTGAACAACTTGAAAGACTGAATTCTGAACGACTGTGAGCGATTTGAGAGATTTAGTTTTCCCAACACTAATGTACCACCTCAGTTCTAACGTGGAGGACTTCCTAAACTAAACCGTGAGATTGAGACTTGGAGCACGCAGTAGGATCAGCTGTGTCGAGAGCCACACAAGTCTATCTCGCAGACCACACTGGAGCCAGCGCCCAGGAGCAGGCCGCAGATCACAGACTGATGGGCCTCTCCTGATTACACACATGGGAAGTCGTCTTCTTTGTGCTGGCAGCAGGGGCACAATGCCACTGTGATGCTCGGGGCAGATCTGATGGACTCAGGATTAAGACTGGAGTGAGGCGCCAGGACAGTCTGTCAGAGTACTGAGTGTACTGCCAGTTTACAGCAGGGTACACACACCAGCAGTACATGTGTGGTACGTATAGCAGTGGTGAAACATATTGAAGTAAAAGTAATTAAAGGTTGTATACATTTTGGGTATTTGTACTCAGATACTTTTTACTTTTGCTTCACTATATTTAAGATCAGGTATCTGTACTTTCTGTTTCACTACATTTTTGAACAGGACTGAAAACTAAAAATATTTTTATTATTGTATTAGACCTGCTGACAAGTTTTTTTTAGTTTTTTTTAACACATCCAAAAAGTATGAAATTGGTGTGCATGAGTGATGGTGGTGGTCGGAGGTGCCAATGGCGCAGATTGGCAGCCTCGCTTCCGTCAGGGTCTGTCAGGGCAGCTGTGGCTACAATAGTAGTTTACCACCACCAAGTGTGGAGTGAATGAATAATGAACTGTAAACCGCTTTGGGTCGCTTGAAAGGCGTTATATAAATGCAGTGATTAATTAATTAATTTTTAAAAATCCACTTTTGAAGTTTTACTAGACCTAGTCTGTGTGAAATATTTTTACTTTTACACGGGTACTTTAATACTTCAGTAGATTTTTTCATGTGATACTTTTACTTGAGTATTTTTTTACTCCAGTATCTGTACTTTTACTTAAGCAATCAAACGGAGTACTTCTTCCACCACAGATGTATAGGCCTGTCATGATAACAAAACTTCAAAACACAATATATTTCTACAGGGAAATATTAAATGCAATTTGCTCATTCTCAGTTTTAGGCTTGGTCTAGCTCTGACTCATTTGTGGATCATCAGATTGCTACTGCTACCATTTTAGTTCCTGTTAATAAATCACAATTTTTGAAACAATATTTTTTTCTTTATGCGTAATTTTCCGAAAAGAAGGTCCGTCAACTGCATGTTTCCAAGGAGTTATCTTTGTTTTGCCTGGAATTTTCTACAGCACAGCATTAAACATGTCTATTTCCAAATAAGCAAGCAAGTGACGCCACAAAGCCGAGTTACTGGTCAGATCTGTGGAGAGGCGACTATGGTGACAATGAGAATGCATGTTTTTAAGGTATTTTAGAGCCATAAAAATACTTGTAATTAATTTAACATAAGATAGATACGTTTTATGGCTCACTGCAGAACATGACAAAGCCTCTACCTGAAAAGTTGGATAGTTCACCTTTAAAATAAAATAAAATTGAACATAAACATGACAGACTTTTAGACAGTGGCATTAAATAGAAAAAACAGCCCAGCGTATTCCTTCAAAATCTGAAAACCACATGCCTTTACTGCCATGGTGTGAGTGGAAATACCATATGAAAAAGTCCATTGTTTGCAGACTTCCTTTTACAAAACACAAACTGTGACTTGATCGCCTGGGGCCACGTTTGGGAAACCAGAGGGGATGTGTGCAGAGTTATAAGGGGATGTCTGGAACAAAACTATCCCAGACATGAGCCACAGATTTGGGCTGTGAGAACTGTGAAGAGGCTCTCCACATCACGCAGATAGAGTTACACACAGGCTGACCGTTCAGAGGCAAATCTAAAAAGATGTTCAAATCACTGTCTAATGTTTCAGCAAAGAATGTGAAAGTCATATGATTGGTGGTTTCCATCAGGCTTGTCTAAAATGTAGTGGTTGAGGAAATAGATATCAAAAGGCCTACTTCTGCTCTGAAATAACTTTGTAAGATTGGGGAACGCTGTGGGGAGAAGGGCATCAGCCATAATACTCAAAAAGCTCTTTATATCAAGACCCTCTCACCCAAAAAAACTCTGCTAAAGATTAAAGTACAAGGAGAATTCAAACAGCAGCTGATAATTTCCAGTCTTTTAGTGATAGGCTCTCTCACTCTGTCAGCCTGATTCATCAGCCAGTTTCACTTCGTGGAAACCATCTCACCTCGCAGCATTAGAATTCCTTCGCTCGACGATAGGTGGGTACTTTTTAACCAGTCGCTGCTATTTGGTCGTAATGTATGTAATGCGCCACTAATCCCACAGGAAAAAGGGCAATAACGTCTTTCCCCTTAATCAAATATTCTCTTTGTTCCAGCTTTAAATCCTCGATCTTGGGAATCGTGGTCAACACAGAATGTATACATGTCTACATCCATCTCGACCGCTTTGTTTACTATTGTGCTGTACCACAAATGGGACCCAGACAGACGCTTGAGTTTGACATCATGGCTTCACAGCTCTTCACTGATTGGCCAGTGCATGGTCTACAACTTCCAGGGTTCTTGCAAACCGTCTAGTGTATTCCGATTCGTGACCTAGTCGCTGGAGGGAAATGAAACTGAGCGGAGGCACTAGGTGGCACCAGACTGGCTAACACTCTGTAAGCTGCAGCCCAGATTCACCATTGTTTTAAAGCTGCCCTAACAGTAAGGCAACCCTTCCTATAACATATGCTATGTTACTTATACTCATACTAATACTTATACTAATACTTGCTTCTAAAAAGATCTTTGTCTTATAGACCAATTTAGTACTGAGTTTTGAACTGTTAAAATCATCGGCATTTAATTTCTAAGAGTCTCAGTATTAGCAGTGTACCATAGACCTTGGATCCTGCTGCTGTGGATGCTTTAAAAAAAACTGACAACATTCCTGTTTAAAAAAAGCGTTCTAGGTTTAATTTATTTAATGATGTTTTTATTTTTGTTCTTTTGTTGTAGCGTCACCATGCACATTTGAAGGTAAATCTCAAAGTGCTATTTTGCATTATAAATAAAACGTATTATAATATTTTGAGTAATGTAGTAGTTTCTATTGTGTGGAATATTAGTTTATATAACTCACATAAACTCAACTTAATAACAAACAAATAAATATTACAAATTGTTATCAGATCCTTTATTTAAACATTTTATGTTACACTGAACATAAATAAACTAACGGTGTGTTTTTGTGCCATAGGAACCTTTGGCAGTTGCAACAGGGCCACAATAAACAAAAATTCCCAGGGAGTGTAAAAAGTATAGTTCTAAATTATCCTTCTGTAAAACAATCACATATCTAAATAATTTCACAAAATATACAAAAATAGTTCATATGATCAGGTCTGGTGTGTGTTCAATATAATTTCTTCCTGAGGTTTTTAAATAGAAGACAGGTTGGCTTCCTTTTGGCGCAGACGCTCTTTCTGTTCAGACAAAACACAAGGGCATTTGTTAAATATCTGATTTAAACCCAAGTCACTGTGGTTAATCCTTGCGCCTTGTTGAAAATGTGTGTATACTGGAAGTGTTTCGTACAAATTGTGTATTTCATTTTTTAAACTGGCATAAAATCATCAAAAGGTAATATTTTTTCAAAGATTTTCACTTTTGTTCATGAAGGAGTTCCCTTTTTTGTCACATACAATTTACCACCAATATGAAAAATAATATAACTGATAAATCTACTATAGGGATTTTTTTTTTTTTTTACTCTGACTATGACCAGTGTGATGGGTTGTCAGAGTGAACGTTGAATGAATACAGACTTTGGGACATTTTTTTTGTTTTTGAGTAAAGTTAATTTCTCGCATATGTCAAAAAACCTGTAAAAACACACGACTGAGTGAATTTTCATGGAAACCGAACAACCCCAGCCAAAGTTATCATGATAAATGTACCTTCAGATTCACATATTTCCATTAACAAGGCACATGGGTTAAAAATCAGACAGAGACTAAATAGTTCTGTAGTGTGGTGTTACCAAGCTGTTTGGGTTGATCTTTCTGGTCTCCACTTTCTTCTCTCCTGTGATCCTCTTCACTGACAGCTGGGCATCCTTCAACCTCAAAAACAAAAACAAAAAAACAAACAAAAGTAAAAAACTGTACACTTGTTCACAGTGTAGAAAAGAAGTGAAGTGTATGTCATGTCAATTACCTCTCTTTGGAGATGTTTTTGCTCTCCCTCTTCCATCTGGCCTTGAAGTCAGCACAAAACTCAAACCAGAGCATGAAGAAGTAGCTGGTGGTCACCTCACTGTCTCCTGCTTTGGGCTGCAGACCAAAGTACACCACCAAATCCTGGAAACTGAACCAAAAATATTCAGTTCACATCAGGATTTCTCAAGTTGTTGCTTTAGTTCACATGATGTCACCTTCTTCTGTGTGCAGTGATTTGTATATTACATTTCATTAATCTTGCGTGTTATTATATTAAATAACTTTAACCAAAATTGTTAAATAAATGAAACCATTATTCTCAAAAATATAACCCTTGGAATCATCATAGTCATATTTCAAAAGATGAAAAGAGAATTTGTTGAAGGAATGTCATTTACATTGTTTTCACCTTATTTTTAACCTTATTTTAGCCACACAATATAAACATAAATAAATGTATGTCCAACCTTTTCTCATTTGTTATTAGCTGATAGGAGGCTTCACCGTGCTCTTTCCTCGCTGCAGAATCACAAGAAACACAGGTTTGCAGTCATAAAAAATGAGTTGTTTGGTGGAAGCACACACAATATAATCGGTTTATATATATTTGTATCTATATTTTAATAAATGCAATAATGAAATATGTTGTGTGAGTGTCTGGCCCCAGAAGATGGTCAGAGGAGTCTAGCTAAAACCGTCGGAATAGACTCAACTGGAAAAAAAATGCCATTAGTATTAATAAAAATATTGAATAATTTTAGACAGTATAGGTACACTCACCATTAAGAACAAATGCCTCCATCTTATCTTTAAACGGCTGCAGGTGCTCCTCTGGGGAATTCGTGCAGACTTTTTGGATGTTTTTCTCACACTCTGAAAACATTTGAGACAAGGGCAAAATATTACAAATAATGCACACTGTATAAATAACAGTTTGTGTGTAGCAAAACCAGACCATGCAACTCATTAGGCACATTTTGTAATCTCTGCTTATCTATAAGTAAGTAAGTTTTTATTTATATAGCGCTTTTCACAGATTTTTGTCACAAAGATGCTTAACAGAGCATTATTCATTCACTCCATGGTGGTAAGCTACTATTGTAGCCACAGCTGCCTTTGGGCAGACTGACTGAAGAGCGGCTGCCAATCGGCACCATCAGTCCCTCCGACCACCACCATTACTCACACACACACCACTTTCATACTAGGCAATGTGGGTGAAGTGCCTTGCCTAAGGACACAATGACAGTTTTTTTGTGCCTGGCGCCCCCCTGTGGCACCTGATTTTCTCAGTGGTCTCCCATCCAAATTCTGACCAGGCCTGGCTCTGCTTAGATTCTGAGATCTGACGGGATCAGGCTTTGACAATCCGGTATGGCCACATACTGGACCACATCTGTAGCACACTTCTCTCAAATCCTTGTAACATTCAGAACAAAATATATAATTAGAGCTATGTTATAATTGGGCTATATTTAGAGTTTAGTGCTTGCTCAGTGATTTAGCAGAAATCTGCACTGTTGTACATTTCTTTTTTACTTGAAGGCAGAAATGTTTGTTTTGACACAAATGGACAAAGCATTTCTGTGACTGGTTGATTCACCTGTCAATCATTCCCATCTGAAATTGTGGAGAAAGGATATCGTTCCAGAGTATATGTCTAGGGCAGGTCATGTACTCCGATACATGAGCTCTAACTTTCTTTATCCTTATTTCTTCTTTATTTTATTATACCACCAGTGATCAACCACCAATGTCTAAGCAGCAACATTTAGTCAACATTTAGTCTGACTACAACCATTGCTATTTATGTTTTGGTGAAATAACTCTATTATATTCCTGTGTCTTTATTCCAGTAGTCTCCTCCTGTGGCTCGTCCCATCTGTGGATCAGAGGAGCCAGTCTGCCCAGGCAGCCATAACAGAGCCCTCCTCCTCCTCCTCCTCCTCCTCTCCTCCCTGCCCCCATGCCCCACACTACATCCACATCTGCAGATAAGATTACAGAAGGATACTGTTGTCTAAACTGTTCTTTGTGCCTGTACAGCGGGTCAGTGGTTCTTTTGTCTGTCCTTTGTGGCAGTAACAGTTAGTTTATGTCAGAGTGAAGAGGGTCAAAGAGCCTCATGTAAACACAAGCTGATCTCACGGGACCAAAATCAAACAGAAAGGTCAAAGTAAACATTAGGCATTTTACAAAGGTTTTAACCATAGACTGTACAAATGAACAAAGCTAACCTGCTACCTGCCACATTCCAAACAGGAAGTGACCCTGGGCGTGCTTCTGGCTCCGTGAACTCCAATTCACTTTGTACAAACGTCACTCCTCTCTCTGTACTGCTCATTTTGGTCTTAAAATGTTTGATTTAACCCGCTCTGGTGTTTTTATTTTATTATTTTCAATTCCTATCCCTAATATGGAACTCTTTTCCAAATTTGCATAAAGGCTAGCCTCAGTAAGCTTAATTTCTTTCTTATTTATTTATTTGTAAAGAGACAGCGCATAATAATGAGCATTAAAATGGATATATGTAAAGATTATAGCCACAGGTTGATGTGAAAGCATGTACAGCAGTGTTTCCCAAACTTTTTTTCTGGGGACCCATATTTTAAAAGTCACAAATCTTCGCGACCCAAGTCAATAGACATTATTCGTAAATCACAAAATAAATTTGTGACCATTATTGAACATTAATGAGGATATTGTATTGTGTTGACTGAGTTATTCTCTCTCTGAACAGTTAGTATTACTCAAGTTTTAAACAATGAAAAACAGTAATCAGTGTTTCCTACAGAAAATTGGTTAGGCAAAGCGGTGCTGCTAAAAAAGCGAGGAGCAATGGGGGAGGGGTGTGCGGAGATTTCGTGCACGGAAAAGAATTGAGGAGTGGAGGATGCTCAGAGATTCCATAGTTTTGTGAGGATTGTCGTGGTTCGGAGGGACGTAGTCAAGGCGGGGGCCACTTGTCCATGCGGCCGTCTTAACTATAAAGTGCTGCGGGAAACACTGATAATTGAACCAGCAATAAAACGTATCCATAAGGAGCCTATTTGGACCTACATGCAAATCGACAACCCAAAAAAAAAATTTCTTGCGACCTAGTCTTTGGGAAACAATGGTCTAAAGGACAGGGAAAAGTACAGCAACAATCACACAAACATACATAAAACCAGCACACTCGTCATACACACAATTAATTTCAAAAAGTTCATTTGAAGTTCGAAGTCAAGAGTTAAAGAGTTAAACCAACAACCCGTCAATATAAACAATGTAATTTGGTTAAACATGATGACATATTTGACCATTGAACAACCGCTGTTTTAAAGCTTTACAAAATGCTCCCAGTGTTGAAAGTTCTCGTAAATGAGCTGCACTGTGTTCCACGTTTGACCTGCTCGATAAGCAAAAGAGAGCTGTCCAAAAGCACCAAGAGCAATCAGTCTTGTTGTACGATTTTAATTTCTTTTCACAAACTCCTTTAGAAGAGGTGGAGCTAGATTATTAAAAACTTTGTACCAAAATTAAATCTCTGTATTTGATTGTGTTGTCCCAATTAAGAAATTTGTATTTGTCAAGTGTTCTGTAGTAGTGATAATTAGTGGGCTTTTTGTCTAATACCTTAAGTGCTTTTTTACAGATAATTTCAGCTAATTTAAGAGTAATTTTGCTTGTCAGAGTCCAACTAGTCCAACATAATTGCAGAGTTTGTTGTTAGGTATTTTGTGTATTTGACTGGAATCGAAAGCTATAGGTAACATCACACTCCCTTAATCCACTTCTTTATACAGTCTGTGATTTTAACATAGATGACTTCCTAAACTAAACTATGTGATGGAGACGTAGAGGAAGATCAGACTGAACAAAAGAAAAACGCCACGCTGCTTAAGCCCACGGTCAGATACAGCCCTGGTGTTGAGAGCCACACAAGTCTATCTCGCAGACCACACTGGAGCCAGCGCCCAGGAGCAGGCCGCAGATCACAGACTGATGGGCCTCTCCTGATTACACACATGGGAAGCTGTCGTCTTTGTGCTGGCGACAGGGGCACAATGCCACTGTGATGCTCGGGGCAGATCTGATGGACTCAGGATTAAGACTGGGGTGAGGCGCCACGACAGTCTGTCAGAGAGCGCTTATTGATACTTTACAGCGACATCAGGCTGGGGGTACTGTACGTGTACGTGTATTATTGGAATGCTCAACACTTACTATGGAAACACGATGCACATAATTAACAAGCACTGTCAAATATGTTTTAAGATTGTCTGAAAGCTCAAGAAAAAAGACAAAATGGATTTAAACATCACATTTTCAGGAGCCTGTGATCAATACGAGTGCTCATGGTCCATTTTCAACAAAAATGATAAGTGTGACTAACTGAAAAACTAACAACGAGGTTTAGTTGGTCTTCCGATAATTTATGTTATTAGGTTCAGTTTTCAGACCAAGAGTTTGTCAAAGTGGTCACGTGATGTTGCTGTGATGTGTCTGGTCAGCTGATTCATCGGGGAAACAGGGAGGGCGTTCAGTACACAAAATAAGGAACACATTACAGAATGCAAGAAGGAAACAGCGAAGGTGTGCACACAAGCAACAAAACACAAAGCAGAACAGGAACAACTCAAATCATCCATCCCTGATCACTCTAAAAGAGAGAACCACATTATGAACTGGGATGGAGCAAACATCATCGGGACAGAAGAAAACAAACGTTGTTACTGGATTAAAGAGGCAATCAAAATACGGAAACGTGCCCACAGGACGATAAACTGGGAGGAGAGGGCTTTTTTACTCTCACACACCTGGGATACTGTCCTAAGGAAGTCGGACTGCAGATGGTGCTGTCGTCCTGCTTCCACCGGTAGGAAGACAGCGCCAAAACCTGTTTAAATCAGCTGACCGAACACGTCACAGCAACATCATGTGACCACTCTGAGGAAGACCACTAGTGAGCATCTGAAACTGTCAGGTATGAAAACAAACTCTTGGTCTGAAAAAAGAACCTAACAACATAAATGTTTAACAGTACAAATCATCTCAGCTGTTGTACCGCCATTTAAGTCAGTTCTTTATGACTTTATGACTCTGAAACCAAGTTCAGATTAAAGTCTAACTTGAGTACAAAAGCCTCAGACAGAGCAGTGCTTACAGTTAGCATTACACCCCCAGGGAATGTTGAAGACATGAGCTGCAAAGTATCAATAGTTAAATCCTAGTTTCAGTAATATTTGGGAGACAGTGAGTACATACGTGTGAGGTCTCGGGCCAGTTGTCTCAGGTCTTTGTGGAGCTCCTCAAACTTCACCTGAGCCGCCAAGAACACGTCCTGAGGTTCTGGCAGAGGGAACACGCTATTGTCTGTCCCAGCGTTCTGTAAAGACACAATTCAGTTCTAGTTTCAACTAAAATCTTTGACAGCTCGTAGTAAAAAAGACAAAGGATGATTTCACTGATTTGGTTTCTACATTATTTTAAATGCTATTTTCTGAACTACTGTATGTTATTATGTTGTTTCCACATCAAAAACCCACATGGAGGTTTGTTTCATTCATTCATGTTTAACACACAAAACCTGCATATTTAGACTGTGTTCTTCTCTCAAATGGAAAATGCTCAGCTCCACCTTATGTGGTAATACAGAAAATGCTCCACTGTGTTTTTAATCTCCATACACATTCACTAGAAAAATGTGGATAATTTCAGATCTGGAATTGCCAATCTCTGCTGAACAAAATGTAAAAGATACAGGAACTGGTAACTTGAAAACTACCACTATATGACATCATAAGGTGGAACAGAGCATTTTGAGCTTTGGAGATGCAGATGTGGATGTGAATGAAACACAACACAACTCCAAGTAGTGTTGACCAGTCTTGGTCTCGAGACTGGCCTCGAGATCGCTTTTTACTGTCCTGGTCTCGTCTTGGTCTTGAGCACATTTGGACTCTGTTTTGTCTCGGACTCGAGCACATTTGAACTTGGTCTTGTCTTGGACTTGAGCACATTTGAACTTGGTCTTGTCTCGGTGTTGATGGCACTCGGTCTCAGTTTTGTCTGACACTCGACGAGTGCGACCATATTTTATTATGGCCAGTGAATGTGCAGAGGCTAAACATCATTGGTCTGGATGGGCCATGGTTTTGCTCTTGTCTTGGTCTCAGCCTTTAAAAGTCTAGATCTTGACTCAGTTTTGACCTTTAAAAGTCTTGGTCTTGTCTCGGTCTTGACCCTCAGAGGTCTTGGTCTTGTCTCGGTCCTGGGACCCTGTGGTATCGAACTGGTCTTGGCCTCGATTAGTGCGGCCTTGACTACAACACTAACTCCAAGTATATTTTTGAGGAAGAAACAACATTAGAACATAGACCAGAAAATAGCGTAATATAGTCCTTTTAATGTAAAGGTACACTCAAGTCCATTTTCTGACTACATCACCAACTTTAAATGTAATTCAACATGACTTAGTGTTTTCATAGTATGTTATTGTGAAACTGTACCTTGTCCACATTACGTAGATAGTAAGACACCACATAATCCCCTAAACTGATGCGATTATCCTGAAAATAAAAGACAATAAAAAGTCTGTATAACTGCATATTTGAACACACACGAGAAGATGGTGAAAAAAAATACTGTGGCATTACCCTGCTTTTGACATCTTTGAGTTTGGGGAGGATTTCCAGTCCAAACCCGTCAGCCTGGCCTCTGGTCCTGCTGCCTCCGTTCATGTGGTTCCCCAATGCCAACACCAGGCCCATGATCTGCTTCACACTCTCCCTCTCCAACAAGACCTGAAAGTATGTACAAAAAAAGTCTGAAAAATATAAATTTCTTAATTAACATAAAGACAAATTTAACTCCTTGATATCTTCACACTCTCACTCTCCAACAAGAGCTGAAAAGAAAAAAATGTCAGTGCAAAAAAGTCAGAAAAATATCAAACAATTACTAAATCTACATAAAGACAAAATTAACTCTTTGAGAACTAATAATTTTCCATTTACAGACAAGCACCACATACTGTATTTTAATTCAAATGTACTAATACGTATTCCACCAACTCTTGTGCAAAGCCTAAATATGTTTTATTTTATATCACTTGTATTGAGATGGCAAATATAGTGGAAAAATTGAGGTGGAAGGATTTATTTTTAACATGTTTGTGGCTTGAGCACAATATACAAAAAATAAAAACAGCTAGGAAAAAAAAATCAATTCAACTGTTTCAACAAATTTCATCATAAATCTTTATTAAAATCACTAAATTTTAAGCTTTGTTAGATCTCAAAATCTGTGCAAAATACTTTTTACTCTTTAAGCATATTTTTTCACTTTTACTTGAGTATTTTTTTGCTCCAATATCTGTACTTTTACTTAAGTAACAAAATTTAATCCTTCTTCCACCCCTGCAATTGTTGTTTTGGAGGTGTACAAACTTACAATATTGAGTTTATTGCCTATAATTAAAACTATTAAAAATTACAGAATCCTATTGTGAAATTTCCCAAACAAAGGTATAAAGTGCTATGTTTTTTTAAATAGACATTTTATTATTTTTCTATTTTATGGCCCTTTGTTGTTTGTGCTAGACTTCAATGTCAACCAAGACATTTACAAACACATTTTAGTACATTCCTGGTGCGTAATCCCTGAATATTGCCCACCCCTGCTTGTATATAGACAAACCTATATATTTGCCTATATACCTCATTTAATTCAAGTATTTAGCTATTTTTGCTACTTAAATCATTTTGAAATATATTATGAATCTATTTTTCATTCATTGTTATTATATTGTAATAAGTAATATGTAATTTACAAATGACTACCTCATGCTGCAAAAAATTATATACAGTAGTTATATTTTTAGAGTTATCCAAGTTATCAAAGATTGTTCAAAATAATGGACAATGTCAAATTTTATCACAATTGCAATGTTTCTTTTCTCGTCATGATACATTTTGCAATTAAATCTTAAAAGGCCCATATCACACTATTTTCTGTTCCAAGTCATAATGCTGTTTCCTCATTAAAAGTATACCTGAAGTTGTGTTTTGTTTTATTCACACATGTTTAACACACTAACCCTGCATATTTAGGCTGAGTTCTTCTCTCAAACAGAAAACACCTTTCACCTTGTGATATCATGTGGTAATACAGAAGTGTTCCACTGTGTTTTTAAACTCCATATACCTGCACTAGAATTATCTGGATGATTTCAGCCCTTGAATTTGCCAATCCTTACCGAACTAAAAGTAGAAGGTAGCTGTTACTTTGAAAACTACCTTTAAAAATCTGCAAAACTCCCAGCAGAGCTTTTTGAGCTTTGGAGATGTAGACAGACTAATAAACCAGGAATACTCAAATGTGCGAATGAGATAAAACACAACTCCAGGTATGTTTTAATGAGGTAACAGCATTATAACATGCCTAAAAGTTCACAAGAATCCATTTTGTTTGATAACATTTATAAAGATGGCTGGATATTATGAAGTTTAACCAGTCAACCCTTTATCCCAAAGCAGCATTATAATATCTAATCTACAGAAGACTTCTTACCTCACAGACAGATGAAACAGTGCGCAGCTTGCGTTGTATGGAAGCTATGCCATCTAGAAATGCAGACTGGAAGATAATGCACTGGGCTCTACCGGCAAAATCTGGGATCTGGGACAGCTCATAGAGAAACCTAGAAAAGATCAAATAGAGGTGTTATTAAAACAGTCCATTTTAAGCATCCACAGACCTTTAGACACCGACTGTTCGGGCTTGTCCAGTAGTTTAATTTCCTCCTCGTTAGAATTCTCATAATGTTGCTTTATTCTTCCAAGTTCATCGGGCTGTGCTCTCTAAAAAAAGAGCAACATTGTTAAAAGATTTATAAAGGACATTTGTCTGAATTACAAGAGTATTTTAGTTTCATACATTTTCATAGAGAGCTTCAATGGTGTCCAAGTCCACAACGGAATGATCCACAGTCAGAACAGCTGAGATAAAAGAAGAATCATGCATTTATTTGATTATTCTCATGACCTTTTTGTCTGTAACCAGTACCAGTAATTGCAGTCTTTCGTTTGTAGAGCAATGGTGCATTTCTGTATACAAAATTACAGCCTGCATTATCATATTTGTACATTCGTAAATTGAGAACATTGCTCTATTTCCTGGATTTTACACTAACCACACTCTGTATGCACAAATGGGCTCGTTGAAAGTGAGGTTGGTCGTTGTGGGGTGTGGGGAATAATTTGTAAAGCACTTTGTGTTACGTGCAATATAGTGTTTGTGTATGGGTACACTGGAGGGATTACGTCTCTTGGCTGGCCTTAAAATGTTCATGTTAGATCAGACCTGGGCTTGTACAGTGCCACATACGGCCCTGAGCAGCCCGTTTAAGATAATCTGGAATTACAAAATAAACATATTTCATAATTTTACCTCATGCATGGAATAAAACTGGATTGCTTTTATTTTAGAGGTGTTTTTTAAATGACATTTTTTGTAAGTCATAACATAAACTCTCACCAGTCTGACCAGCTTGTCAAAACAAAGCTTTTTACTGCTTAAGAAATACAATTCATATTATGCAGAACTGAGTTAGGTATTTTGGCCCCATGGTCTCTCACGTTAGCCAGGCTGGCGCAACCTAGCGCCTCCGCCCAATTTAATTTCTCTCCATCACCTAGGTCAGGAATCAGAATACACTAGACGGTTTGCAATAAACCCAGGAAGTTGTAGACCGCGCATCGTCCAATCAGCGAAGAGCTGTGAAGCCATGACGTCAAACTCAAGCGCCTGTCTGGGTCCCTTTTGTGGTACAACACAACAGTAAACAAAGCGGTCGAGATGGATGTAGACGAAGACAGACATTCTGTGTTGGCAACGATTCCCGAGATCAAGGATTGAAAGCCGGAACAAAGAGAATGTTTGGTGAATTTTATCAAGGGGAAAGACATTATTGCCCTTCTTTTGGAAAATGCTTAACATACCAGTTAGCCCTGTTAGAGGCACCTTACATACGTCATGACCAAATAAGCGATTGGTTAAATAAAAAACAAAAAAACAAATCCTAATGCTGTGAGGTCAGACGGTTTCCATGAAGTGAAACCAACTGATGAATCAGGCTAATTACTCTCATGTGGCCCCATGGGAAAAATAATTGCCTACCCATGTGTTAGATGTTAGATGAAAATTAGAACCTTTGTTATAATCTGGCATATTTACACTGTAACTAAATAAACAAAATAAATAAACAAATGTTACAAGGGGATTTAATAATTTGATTGATTTAAATGTACTATTTATTTTATCATAAAGAAACTGTGAGTGCATATTCAGCATTTTCTGTTACATTTAGTTACAGGTTCTGGGACTAGTTGCCTTTCTTGTGTACATAAAAATTCACCATTGCTCACAAACCAACCTACTCCCCCCAGGTGAGTGTTGCTGTTGCCTCACCGCGCTGTATGTCCTTCATGTCCAGATGCAGGCTGGAGATGAGGATGCCCACGGCCTGAGAGCGCTTCCCGTCCAACAGCTTCACAATCTGTCAGCGTATCAACAAACCACGGTCACTATGACGACCGCACATCACCAAACCCATTAGTAAACCATTAGCAAGAGAGCTATTATGAGGAAAAACACACATGAAGGGTCCTCTGATTGAACCCGGAAACGCCAAAAACAACTGTTACTATGAAAACACGCCATGTTTGAAGGAGCGGCCCAAAACATCTATAGATTTTATAGACATGTATTAACCAAAACAATAAAAAAAAAGGGATAAGCATGGGTCCCTACTATGTAAATACATTTGTCACACAAGAATAGTTTTGAATGAACACTATGTTTAGCATTCAAGCTCCATTACACAGGCACAGAATGCATTCAAAACGTTGATTTTATATCTTGTAAGTTCACTAAAACGTGGTTGACATAGATTTTACAAAAAAGAATCTTGTTTCATTTCTCTCATGTTTAATTTTGGTGAAGTTAATAAATTTAATTTATGGTTGAACAGCAGATACGACATACGGAAAAGGAGCAATAAAATAACCATAACCATAAGAAACTAGGGCCAAAAATTGTGTAAATTTTACAATAGTTATGATTAGACTAATACAAATTACAGCACATTTATTTTGTTTATGTTGTTTAGGTTTAATCTGTCAGAAAAATATGCGTGTGAATTGTTCTTGCATTTTTTGTGACATTTTTGGTGTGAAAGTCACCATGAGTCTACTTCCTTTGTTTTTGTTCCCTACAAGCACCCATTTCATTTACGTAAAAATATTATAGTAAGATTTACCACAGGTACTGTCCCACCAAACCAAGTTATAATTTGAAAAAAACGTGCAAACCTGCCATATGTATTTAAAGTGACTTTTCCCGTATCACACAGATTGACTTCAGTGAGCTGTAGCCTCCTAGTGTAGGACCTGGCGTCCACATATGTGAACATATATGTCCAACACATTTTGAGTTGTTCAAGCACTTAATAAATAGTTTCGCAAGTCATGATTCAGTTGTGACTTTATTGTGTTCCATCAAAATGATTAAAAGATAAAGTTAATGTATTATTTATCATATGTGGACATAATTTTTTCAGAAGCTACTTTGTGTAAAAATAAAATTCTTTGTTTTTGCACTCATCAGGTCCCAATCAGCCCAAATAACAAAGAGAAATCAATAAAGCCATGCCATGCAAGAGTTTGGGTCCTATGAGGTTAAGCCAAGTTGCTGCCTCATCAAACACATACCTGGAGATTGGCAATTCCAGGACTAAAATCATCCAAATTATTCTAGTGATGGTGTGTGGCGTTTAATGCACAGTGGAGCACTTTCTGTATTACCACATGACATCACAAGGTGTTTTCTGTTTGAGAGAAGAACTCAGCCTAAATATGCAGGGTTTGTGTGTGAAGCAAAACACTATTCCAGGTATGACTTGATGAAGAAACAACAGAAAAGTGTGTAATATGGGCCCTTTAAGTTACTTTCAAAGAATGGAAATACATGCATTCTAGTGACTTGGTTTAGTTTTGTTTTAGTCCAGCTTGGTTCAAACTTAAACCTGGGCTAGTTCTTAGCTGGTTCTGAATTGAAAAAAGTAGGCAATATAATATCTAGTTATCTTCTTAACACCAGCCCCCTCTAGTGGAGACGTTTGAAATGGCTCCAGTTAAGTGCAGTGCATAATAAGGACAGCGTTACCTTTCTGGTCTTAATTTTCTTCCCGTAGGTCTCTGACAGTGGCTTCCTCTTCATCTGTGTGGTGGTTTTGGCAAAGAGATCTTCAAAATCACACGTGTTGATGTTGGGTTCCTCCAAAGTGCTCCATACTGTTTCCTTACTGAACAAAACAAAAGCACATGAGATATTACAATACATAAAATATCTAGACCTTTATTATTCATAAATCTGATTAATCTAGGCTTGAAAAAAAAACATATGATTGCAAATTAAAAGGCCCGTATCACACTATTTTCTGATCTCTGTTATAATGTTGTTTCCTCATCAAAAACATACCTGAAGTTGTGTTTTGTTTCCTCTCAAACTTAAAAAACTCTGTTCTACTTTGTGATGCCATGGGGTAAAATTGGAAGAGCTCTACTGTGTTTTTAAACTCCATACACCTTCCCTAGAATCATTTGGATCATTTCATCCCTGGAATTACCAATCTCTATTAAACCAAATAAAAAAGTAACTTGAAAGCTATGCCTTTTTGAGCTTTAGCGATGCAGACAGAGTAATAATAAACGGTAACAACATTCTAACATGGTTTAAACCTCACAAGAGTCAAGTTTTTGTAATATATGACCTTTAAAGTTCACCTTGTCTTAATAAATTGTAAAAACAGAGCACTAAATTTCACTTTTATGCCCATTTTATTAACTTCACACTCATTCCACAGCTATGCGAAAGTTAGGTGTTGCATTGTGTTTCTCTATTTCACCAGGAAACATCCACTAAAATATCAAATCAGATGGGACTCCTGTCTCAAACTTAGATAATGCTTTTTCTAATAAGAGCTAGGGTTATCAAAAGTCTCAAAAATTGTCAAAAATCTGATACTAATCGATACAAAACTACTATCAAAACTAGATACTGATTTGAAGTGTCAACAATAAAAAGTTTAATGTTGAAAATCCCTTCCTATTGTCTAAAGAAAAAGTGTTTATTATTATTGTTGTGATATTCGGGTCAGTATCGAGGATTGAGTCTTTTCCTTAGTTTTGAAATTCGAGTCACTGTGACAACATTAATAAGAGCACTTGCACTTACTTGTCGTCCTGTATTTGAATCCTTGTCCAGTACAGTGGCTTCATGGGCCGTGATGGTTCTACTGTGGGTTTTCTGGGAGCTTTGTCGACACATCCAAAGGGCAAAGGCGGCGGAGGAAGGAGCAGACCTATGCCTGACTGGGGCAAAGGGGGAGCTGGAGGGGGGACACGAGGAGGAGGTGGTATGTTTTCTGAATTTGAGTTTAAAGGGAGACGATCGTTGATTAAGTGTCCAGTAAAACTTTTGTGATTGCGTGAGGAGTGGTCTTCATTCTGTCCGGACAACCTTGAGCTGATCAAATCAATGTCCAACTTCTGAGGTTCAACTTTCTGCAGATTATTTGTTCCATCTTCATTGTCGCTTATCATCACAAAGGTCTCATGGTCTGTCTGGATGCAAATGTCATGAAATGATTTATGTGGAGCGTCGTCTCCCGTGGAAACTGAAGCATCCCGGACATCGCCATGGCGACGGGATTCGGACTGGGAGAGGCGGGACTGCAGCTCGATTATGGTGAATTCAAGTCGAGCCACGCTGACATCGCTCTCCTCCTTCAGCCTGCACAGCTCCTCAGCGTAGTCCTCCTGCAAACATACTCAGTTTTAGTCAGGTGCAATAAGTTTTTACATGAAGCGTGGAGGGAAGCTAAAAAGTTCGACTTTGCTATTTAACAGTTTCCACCTGGGGAGTTTCATTTATTTATTTAGTTTATTTAGGAGACAGGAACAGGGCACAGTACACTTTAACCTTAATAGGAGAGATGCATTTTGCCAGATTGTAGCACTAGAGCTAATTTCCATCTGTAGTCCCTGGTGGATGTTTTTTAGGTTTTTCAATTCAATATCAGACATTGCTGGCATCACTACAACTAAGATGGTAAAGGTATTTATTTAATTTCTAGGTTGTTAATTAGGTTCATTTTATAGTATTCATTATGGGATATATTTAAGAGGAAGCTGGCCATAATTTTCTTGACAAAAAGATATACTGTACAACATATTTTACAATGTTTGAATAGCATTCATATAAATTACCTGTAATTTCTCCAAATCGTCTTTGCATTCTCTCTTCAGCTGCAAAAGTGCTGCTTGGTGCTCTGAAAGGCAAAACAAAATCTATCTATTTTCATACAATGTTGAGTGCAAATGTATTTTGTATGCCACAAGAGAGCACTCCTTTCCCAAACAATATATTTAGCTTTGTCACAGACAAGACTGAAGTGAATATGTTCCTCTGGACTGAATACACTGGATTGTCTTATGGATAATGTAACCCTCTGTTCAGCAGTTCATTTTTGGATGCAACAGATTACTATAGTAATATACTATTCTATTAGCCAGACTGGTGCCACCTAGTGCCTCCGCTCAAGTTCATTTCTCTCCAGCGACTAGGTCAGGAACACTAGACAGTTTGCAAAAACCCTGGAAGTGCGAGTTTGGACACCAACCATCACCGAAGAGCCATACATTCTGTGTTGGCAACAATTCTTGAGATCAAAGATTTAAAGCCGATCAAAAAGAATGTTTGGTGAATTTTATCAAGGGGAAAGATGTTAATACCCTTCTTCCTACGGGATTTGGGACCAAAATAGCAGCGACTGGTTAAATACTACTGTCGAGCAAACAAATCCTAATGCAGCGAGGTCAGACAGTTTCTACAAAGTGAAACTGACTGATGAATCAGGGTTCTATTCTATAGCTGTGCTACAAAAAAAAGACAGTCATGTTTTTCTACTACAGAAATTCGTATTCATAGAGGCCTTTCTGTTTTATCATCCCTAGGGATGGGTCAATGATTGACAGTTTTTTAAAATGCAAAACTACTTTTTTTTTTTTTTTTTACTATCCCAAGGGCATTTGAGATTTTCCAGACAGCAGAATTTTGTATTAAAGGGTTAAAATTGATAAAAAAAAAAAATACTAGTTTTTCAAGTACAAATATGAATCTTTTTATGGCTATTTTTTTTCTTTGGTCTGAAGGATTGAACTGATAGGATAGTTGTGTGAAATGTGGAGAGACAGGAGAGAGAGGCCAGTAGGTGAACCCACTTGGGTACACAGGTAAAGATGTAGGTTCTGTTCATGTTCTACAAACTGATTATGTCAATTTCAGATGGAGAGGAGAGGCCTATGGAACTCTGTGAGAGATTTACTGTTTTGTGCTCTAGAAATTGGCTTCACAAACTTTCCATTGTAATGAGAGAAAGAGAACATCTCTATAGAGAAATATTGGTGAGTGACCTTCCTTCCACTAGAAAAGTTAGTGCATTTTTAATTACAGAACCCATGACTTTTACGACAGCACTTTGCTCCGCTCTGCACCTGTAGTTTATAGCCAAAGGATACACATAGAGGGTGATGTAGTGTTTATCTATGCTTAAGTTTAATGTTACTAATATTATATCACATGACCACAGAGAGCAAACAACTGCTCTAACATCACTCAGGAATATTTAGATCCTGCTGACAGTCTGCCCTCTAACATTCAGAACTGAACATGCTGCACATATGAATGACACGAGTGATTTATATGTAATATACCTGCTTCTGTGTACTTCAGACCCACTTTCTCCTCTTCTTGTAGCGGAGGCCAGACGGCTTGTAGACGACCCGGGGTCCTGTCCTCTGCATCAGCGGGCCTTTCTGACTGTAAAAACATAAGAATCAGAAATAGGAATTTATTCGTCATTTCAGTTTAAAAAAATACACAGAAACGAAACACTGCACTCAGGTCCAGGTCAGATTATTTTCTAAAGTGAGTTCCAAGTCAGTGCTACAGTTATTCAGTCACAGTTATTCAGTCACTATTCCAGCTATTCTGGGGCAAAGTGAAAAATGTGGCTATGTTTCAATGCAAGTAGTACTAATAAATGTACTTGTAACTTGATAATAGCTATATAATTACTAGACACGATATTTATTGCGATATTTTGAAGAGGCTTTTATAATTATAGATAGGACACAATTAGGATTTTGCTTTTAAAATACTTTGACAAGATTTTGGTGTGAATTATGTCTGTCATAATCCCAAGATTTCAAGTAAAAAACATATTGTCTGCACTGAAATGAATCATGGGATATGTAGTTCCCTATGTTTATAAGCTGCTGCAACTATAAAACCATGCATTTAAGCAAAGGAACTTGTGATTTGATAAATTGTGACAGCCCACGATGTTATTGTGAGACTTTTGACGATACGATATCATGATATTTCGGCTACTGTTACATCTCTAATAATTACAGAAAGAAATATTGTGTGTTTAGTGTAATTGTTTGATTTATACTTTGCCATCATCCTCCTCCGTCTTGTCAATGTTCTCAAATAAAGCTTTCAGTTGCTCTCTCTCATTCCTGATCCTCCTCTTCACTGCTTCTAGGTCCTGTTTCTCTGAGGGATCTTTCTTCAAAGGTTTGGGAGTGAAGAACGCCTTGAACGCATCGAATACTGCGTCAGCACTGGACCTCGTCTCTGCGATATTGTTCGATTCATTTTGTTTCGACTCTGCTCCTTCTTCTTCTTCTTGCTTTTCACGGTTTAAAAACTGAGAGATTTGGTCTAGGAAATTGCCTTGTGTTTTGCTACTTTGCGATATGGGTTTAAGCTGGGAAATAGTGTCATGATCTGGTCCGACAACGCCTTTCCGTAGCACCCTTAGGCCACTGAACAGAGCTGGAAGTTGGGGTTGCGTATCAGTGGGAGACCCAGATGGAGAAAAGGTCCCTCTGGTTAAAGTTGATCCTGGATGTGGTTCATTTGACGTACGAGATGAGTGAATAACAATATTTGACACTGGAGTTTTGGGTTGTTCTATTGGTAAATCTTGGGATGTTTTTTGGATTTTTTCTTCTTCAAAAGCTGGTTCAAAGTTTTCTTTCATCTCAAATTCACAATTTTTTTCAGACTGCAAAACATCCACAGAATCTTCACAATCATCGCTTGCAACTTCCAAATTCTTTTGATTAGCTCCCAAAACGCAATCCAGTTCGTTATTTTCAAATTTAGGCACATCTGACTTTATAATTTCGTGAAAATCCTCCTCCTCATTAAATGCATTAGTTAAATTTTCATGATCGCAATCCTCAGCTTCATCAACTTCCTTTTCTGGCTGGTCTGAAATCTTGTTTGGTTTTAAAAGCATATTGAATTCATCAGTATTCTCAACTTCACACGGCCAAGGAAAAGGTAACAAATCTTTTTGCGTAGCCCCATCCCAGTTTAAGTTTTCCTCAAATATGTTTCTACCCAAATCTTCAGGAAATGGTCGGAAAGATGTCAGTATAGCAGTTGGTTCTTCCATTGTAGATCCAAACAACTACTCGAAAGTACTGAAAAACATTCGTCACATCAATTTGGAAATGTGTGACAGCAAATTTTACATCGAGGGTAAAAAGTTAAATTTAAAGAATGATTTAAAAAAGGAACTGAAATTGAAAAATCCTCAGAAAAAAATTTGCAGATTTTTTGTCTTCTTTGTGAAAATAAAAGTAGATTGTAAACCTTACTTTTCAAAAATACAGAAAAACATTGGCATTTTGTGGCAGTTAATTTGCCATAGAAGAAAAAGAAAAATTGTCAAAAAAAACTATGAATGTTCCAGTAATACAATGCAAGTTTGAATTTTAGAAAAGATTTGTCAGTGGAAATCAGTCACTTTGCCAAGTCTGATTTATTTAGCAATTGTTAAAGTAAATCGAAAAATCCTTGTCCAGAAAATATGAGCTAATTTTTGTCTTCTTTGCAAAAATAAAACTCGATTGTGAACTCTAAATGACACCCCAAAGAGTAATGATCGATGTCCAAGCTGTCCAAGAGCTTACTCAGCTGCAGTTGAGCCAAATCTAATATTGTAGTGCGTGTTTTCCTCCACAATTTCTCGTCCGTCATCGATCAAAGTTAAAAGAGCAATTCTGCAAGTGGAATCCAGCATGTGTGGCACTGCCTGGGTACATCCGTGAAGGGACGATTACGCTGAGAACCACACCCGAGGAGCAGAGGGAGGAACTAGAATGCAACCAATCTCTGTCTAAATGTTTGGAGAGTGAACGTGTATAATAACGTTTGAGCAAGTACAGAATAGCACCACTAAAGCTAATCTGAGTGTGATCCCGCCTCATTGGTTAAGCAGCTCATGTTAACCATTGATACAAGTGTACTTTTACTTTTTGTTAGCTCTAACAGAAAGTGTATATGTCAGAGGTTATACAGTTTGGTGTTGTCACGATACTAAAATTTCAAACTTGATTTCATTAGACTAAGGAATAGACTCAATACTCAGTACTCAGTCTGATATAAAATAAAAAACACTCTTTCTTTAGACAATAGAATGTGATTTTCAACAGTGAAGAGTACTTTCCATAGTGGTAACTTGTTCTCATACACCTTAAGATCATTCTAAAGCAGGGGTCTCCAACCTTTTTCCTCAGGTGAGCTACCTTTACTAAATGAAAATTCCAGAGAGCAACTCGTTTTAGCAGTCACAGGCAATAAAGTAAACGTAAGAGCCATGGCAAGACTTAAATGGGGTATAGTTAGATAAAACATAAAAACATTATTTACTTATAAGTGCAGAAAGTCAGGCATCAAAATGATAGATTTACAATAATAATAAGCATTTAATTAATCAAATTTGAGTGACTCAGCACAGTGCGTATAATTCAGAAATCTCTTGGTGAGCTACAGGTTGGAGAGCCCTCTTCTAAAGCTATTCAGGAAAGGTTCATTTCTGTCCTGTGAATGTGAATTTTTTTGTATATTTTGTCATATTAAATATACTCAAAAGGCCAAACTAAGAGAGCTAAAAAAACAGGACAACAGAGAATCAGAACCCAGGAGAAATCCCAGTTTATTTCAAACCTGCAAACACTTTAAGATAGAAACTGCTCCACCCAAAGGACAAAACACTGAGTCACAAACAAAGCAATGTGGTCTACCCTATTCAGTGTAGTGAAGACTGCAGTGAGCACTACATTGGAGAAACAAAACATCCAGTTCACAAGAGGATGTACCGACACAGACGAGAGAGCAACACAGGACCTCAGCCTGCTGTTCATCTCCACCAAAAAGCCATGGGCTACTCTTTTGAGGATAATGAGGTACAGATCTTAGCCAGAGAAAAGAATTGGTTGAGTGGGGACAGAAATTAACCTTTCCTGAATAGCTTTAGAATAATATAGGGGCTGTATCAGAACAAGAGTAAGAGCACATATGCTATATGTCCAATGGAGCCTACCTGGACGGATTACACAAATATAAGGCCACATGATACTATAAAAGAAGGAACTATGATGTAATATTGAAAATGACATTCTATTGTCTAAATAATAATAACAATAATAATAAATTTAGTGCTTTTTTTATATCATTGTGATATTGGAATCGTTATGGAGTATCTAAGTCTATTCCTTAATGCTGAAATTGAGTCTGAAATTTTATTATCGTTACACTATTATGAAGACACAAAAATTTATATCACTTTTATTTTATTCTCAATACCTAAATGTCCCAAATACCTTGAATACCCCTTTTCTTTACAGAGAAAAATTGGGGACATTTAATCTTCTTATGACTGGAAGCCCAGCCGTAGGACATTGTGGCCTTAAACAAGTTATGTTTATGTAACAGCGACCACAGTTAAGCTTGTAAATATTCTTTAAATCCGCCTACATACACTGCATACTACACACCATAACAACAGATTACAGACAGCAAAACAGTACAGCCTAGTTCTGAATTGATTACTGCTTAAAGGTCAAAAACTGACGCAAAATATGGCAAAATTTACTCTTCTGAGCTTTAAGTCATGTTGCTGTACCTCCTCAAAAAACATACCTGGAGTATTAAACATGTGAATGAAACAAAACTCAACTCCAGGTATGTTTGTGATGAGAAAACAACATTATAACATAGATCATAAAATAGCGTAATGAAAGCCCTTTAAAAATATAGTTAATAAATTGCCTTTGTTACTTATATCTTGGGAGATTAGTTTCTTTCAGTTGAATCATCAGTTTTGTTGCTTTCCTCCCTTTTCTTATAAAGGTTCATAAAATTGATGGAAGAACCCTGAAAGAACATAACAGGATTGGCTAGACACAATTTAATTCATCTTGAGGTTTTATACCCCATCAGCAGACATTAATCATGTCTGCGTTTCCCCATTTTTGAATCCATTACAAAAAAAATAATTCTGCCTCAAGTCATTTATGCTGACAGAAATGATTAAACCTAGCGCCAGTTTTACTTTTCTGTCTGAAAAATAGTTGAAATATGGGGAAGTAAAAATGTTCCAATCCAGAATGGTATCTCTTTGTATTTTTTATATAGATGGATGTCACATCTTCATGAAGTATTGAAGAATTTTGTATCTCAGACAAGTAAAATATGCGAAATAGTGGTACAATATAGTATTTTTATGGTATTGTTGTCAAAGTACATACAGTACCATCATTGTCATCCACACCATCTATCTTATTGATCCGTCTACAAATAGGTTCAATATGTGAGTAATGCAGTCATGTCGAGAGAGCTGACACGACGAAGCAAAGGATCTTGGTCTACGTAGTTCTCTTTATCATAAACTCATTCCACAACATTTGTATTCTCAGTCACAAACTCTGCAGCTAAATTCTTACCAACCTCAAACCTAATTTCATGACTGAGAGCTTTCTCATATAGCCAACCTGGTGCCACCTACTGCCTCTGCTCAATTTCATTTCCCTCCAGCGACTAGGTCAGGAATCCGGATACACTAGACGGTTTGTGTAGAAGTTGTAGACTGCACACCGGCCAATCAGCGAAGAGCTGTGAAGCCATGACGTCAAACTCAAGCGCCTGTCTGGGTCCCTTTTGTACAGCACAACAGTAAACAAAGAGGTCGAGATGGATGTAGACGAGGCCATGCATTCTGTGTTGGCAACAATTCCCGAGATCGAGGATTTAAAGCCGGAACAAAGAGAATGTTTGGTGAATTTTATCAAGGGGAAAGACATTATTGCCCTTCTTCCTACAGGATTTGGCGCATTAAATACTTCATGACCAAATAGCAGTGATTGGTTAAATTAAAAAGTACCTGCCTACCATCGAGCGAATGAATCCTAATGCTGTGAGGTCAGACAGTTTCCACGAAGTGAAACCGATGATAAATCAGGCTACTTCTCATATTAAAAACTACAAAACAAATTATACATGATTACATTTAATATCTTAGATATCTTAATACATTTTTGCCCAGTATAGTGTTGTCATGATACCAGAATTGTATTGAAAGTTTTTTATACTAAGGAACAAACTCAGTACTCAGTTTTCATCATTCAACTGTAGTACTTTCTAACTATATGTGGTCCCATATCCCTCAGTCGTCCAGGTAAGTTCCATTGTGGTCCATGGGCGTATAGTCTGTGTGCTTTTATACTTGTTCTGATACAGCTCAAGATCATGCTAAAGCTCAAGAAAGGTTAATTTCTGTCCTGTGAATGTGACTTTTTTATGTGTATCTCATTTCGATACCAGTATTTAGTATCTGATTTTACTTTTGCCAACCCTTTCCAGTATTCATGGATATCAAATTCCTGTTATACACAACATTTTGAGGACTTTTACCATTCAAAATATATCACATTTTCTTATAAATTGCCCATTGCTATGTCAACAGTCTTAATTATCCATCAGTCTGAAACCAATGGACTGGAAAACAGGCAACCAAAGCCGTAGACCCATACAATCTATTACACAACACATCTCCCAATCGCCAATAATCCTGCTGTTATATAACTAATGAAAACACAACGGCCTTTGTTTCACAGCCCTGGATCATGACGCCACAAGTTAATCTTACTAACTGAAAAAAAAAAAAAAAGCGAAAACTGTGACTGCTCCTTCCCAATACTCTGAGAAATGGGTCAAAGTAGCGATGACTTTGCAGAAAATGCCATGTTAAAAGAGCGGCTTGATATCCACAGTGAAGGCTCGGGCAGTAAATATTTCAGGTTGGGCGCACAGTGAGTTAGGAGGCACTTAACTCACCCCTGGCTCGCAGGACAGTGAGGGAGGAGGTGTGGGCGGTGGCGGCGGTGGTGAAGGGGAGGGTGCGGGGCTGATGTCTTCTTCCTCTTCGAGCGCAGTGAGGTGTAAAAAGTCCACGTGCTGGGGTCTGCTGGGATGAGACAGGCACAGGCAGTCCTCCGCCTCCTGCTGCCATTCCTCCTCCTGCCTCTGGAGGGCCTCGTCTGTCCACAAACAAAGATGAGAAATGCAGTTGCCAGTGTTTAAAGGTTCAGTAATATGCAAATTTGACTCTAATGAGCTTCAAGCCTAGTTAGAATGCTGTTACCTCATCAAAAACATCCCCGGAGTTGTGTTGTGTTTCATTCACACATGTCTGAGTAATCCTTTATTCTGTCTGTCTACATCTTCAAAGCTCAAAATGCTCAAAAAGAACAGAGTCTAAACATGCAGGGTTTGTGTCTTAAACATGTGTGAATAAAGCAAAACACCACTCCAAGTATGTTTGAGATGAGGAAGCATTACAACATGGATCAGAAAATAAAGTAATATGAGCCTTTGTCTTGCAATCCATACAAGATTTTTTAATAGAGCAAATCTCACGTAAGTCTCAAATCTTTGACCTCAAGTCTGTATCAAGGCCAAGTCGTTGAGCTAAAAGTCATTTCAAGTCTTTAAACCAAAGTAGCTTAGATTTTTTCGCTTTATATGAATATTAAGCTACACTGCACATTTTTCCTTTTTAAATGTCTTGACAAGATCTTAGTGTGAATCATTATGGTCAGAACAGAAAGAATTAAGATTTAAGAGTGTGTTATTTTGCCATGTAGTCTGTAGTGAAATGGAAGAATCATGTTCTTTGAAATTTCCTCTGTTTGACTGCATTGTATAGGAGTGTAACGATATCCAAGTCTCCCAATATGATATTGTCACGGTATGAACCTCACAGTACGATATTTATTGCAATACCGTGGGAAAGCTCACAATATGGTGGAGAGGCTCACGATTAGGAATGTAACAATATCCAAATCTCTTGGTAGGATATTTTCACGATATACATCTCATGGTATGATATTATTGCGATATTTTGTGGAGGCTGCGAACAAAACTGTGAATACAAGAAGAACTAAGACTTAAAAGTGCTTAGAACTGTTATTTCTTCTTGTAGTCTACACTGAAATGCAAAGGATCATGGTCAATGTAGTTCCATGTCTGCACCAAAACTCTTAATTTAAGCAAAGAGACTTGTAATTCGATATATTATGATGGTCCATGATATTATTGTGAGAACTTTGAACATACGATATCGCGATATTTCGGTTATTGTTACATCCCTAATACTGTATATTACTCTAAGATACTTGAGGATACCACATCACAGTACATCAGTTACATCCAAAGTAACAAATAAAAAAGTGGGAGGGACATGTTCCAGTTCCGAGTCAAGTCCCAAGTCACTGACCTACAAGTCCAAGTCGACTCCCAAGTCTTAGTCCATTTTATCCAGTCAAGTCTCAAGTCCTAAAAATAGTGACTCAAGTAATAAGTAATAAAGAGATCACAACGTATGTAAGGAGAAAGTTGTGATATTACAATCTATATATTAGGACTATATTTAGCCGTCTTCATTAACAGGTGCTTTATGAAACTTTCCCGGTGGAGGGTACACAGTCTGTTTGCCTTCATGGAGATGTTACTGTTTCGCCTCGAATGTTCCTCCATATGGCAGTAAAAGTATCTTGATAGGGACAAGCAAGTGACACCACCAGGTCGAGTTACAGGTCAGATCTGTGGAAAGTAGCTCTAATTCATAGTCGTATAACGCATATCGTTCTTTTATGCCATGCTGTGAAACATTCCTGGAAAAGCCATGACAGAAACCTCACTGGAGAAGATATAACTATAACTTCATAATCTAAAAAGTCTTTTATTTTTGAAACTTTATAGTGCCCATATTATGATATTTTCTGATGTTTCCTTATCATAAACATACCTAGAGTTGTGTTTTGTTTCATTCACACATATTTAACACAGAAACCCTACATATTTAGGCTTACAAGAATTAATTTTTTTTGTAATACAGGACCTTTCTGCAACTTAGATGTATTATTTTTGAGAGGACAGATTAAAGAGTACAAATGTTGGTTCAATAATATTGCCCTACAAAGGCAAAATGCAGCAACGTCATGTTTGGTCAAAAATTAGTTAATGTCATTTTGTTTGTATTTGAGACCTCCTTTATCATGTGAATAAATATTGTGAAAAATATTGAGCTCAAAATTAACCTCTGACCCTTATTTGGTGCTAATTTACTCTGCCTTTGTATCATGAGCCAAAAAAAAGAAGAAAAGGCAGTAATAATGTTTGTTTTGTTTGTGATTTCTTTTTTAAATACAAATATTTCTTCATTATAGCAACTAGTTTTTTTGGGAGGCCTAACTATTATACTTTTGTCTGGACAAAACAGAAACTTTGAAGTCATTTTTCTCAGTTTCACACACTGGCAAGTTAAGGTCTTTTGCCTTTGTAGAGCGGAATAGTTTGACATTTAAAATTCTGATTCATTACTTTTTGCAAAGCAATTTACAAAACCGAGAATTATACTTTCATTTTTGTAAAAGTTTTATTAAGAAAAGTTGAAAATGTTTTAGTTACTGTGTCCTATTCTAACCTAGACCAGCCCATTTTCCCCCACACACAGGACAGGATGCTCACATTTTGGCCATGACATTGTCCCATTGACCTTGGTCCACATACAAAAATGTACTGCCCCCAGTGGCAGCTGCAGTGCACACAGGTAAAACAACAAAAGGCACTTTGAGCTTATATGTGCAAAGAAAAGAGTTCTAATGACTTCAGTTTGTTTCTGTTTTGTTTGTTTTTTTTGTTTAATTTTGTCTTTTAATAACTTATTTGCTTACAGAAACATATATCTTGTCTTGAGAGATCTGCATGACTGAATTTATATTTTACACAATGTTGATAGAGACAGTTTGGTAAAAAGTGTAGAGATTTATAAAGAATTATAGAGATTTCTTTTATTTACAGTGTTTGTGAATGCTATAAGAATACTTAAAAACATACTGATCGAAAATTATGCTCATTTTCTTTTTAGCACTCTCTCAAAAATGCCAGCACACAAAGACCAGCTATGTATTGAAGGTCTTATATCACACAAAATTGATTCTTGTGAGTTTTAAGTCATGCTATGATGCTGTAACCAGAAGTGGACCAAGTCTTTGTTTTGAAAGTCTCAAGTAAGGTCTCTTTGACCTCAAGTCCAAGTCAAGTCCCAAGTCAAATACCAGCAAGTCCAAGTCGAGTCTCGAGTGACTGGCCCATAAGTCCAAGCTAAGCCCAAGTTGTCTGCTTTTCAAGTCTTTAAACCAAAGTACCAAATATAGCTTAGATTTTTGCAGTTTATATACATTTTAAACTAAATTGTACTTAAAAAGTCACGGTATATTTATATATGAGTATTTATAGAGTATACAAGAGTATAGAAATTAATTTAGTTATTTTTTTCTTTTTTAAATGTCTTGACAAGATCTTAGAGTGAATCATTATGGTTAGAACAGAAAGAGTTCAGATTTAAAAGTGCTTCTCAAGTCTAGTTAAGTCCCAAATCTAAGTCCATTTTATCAAGTCAAGTCTCAAGTCCTAAAAATAGTGACTCAAGTCTGACTCGAATCCAAGTCCCGTCCTCTGGCTGTAACCTCCTCAGAACATACCTGGAGTTGTGTTTTGTCAGAAAATAGCAAATACATGTAGGCCCTTTTAACAATGTCTTTTCAGTTCACTGGTATTTCTTTGTTCCATTTGAAAAAGCAGCACGTCTTCAAAGGGAAGCATTTTCTTTTCATTTGAGTAATACCACTGGCACTTAGTATGCAGCTCAATTGTTCAAAAATAAATGAACAATCTGCATAACACAGAACTCCCATTATGGCTGTGAGAATACTGATTTTAATACAGAGAGAAAATGAAACTGAGAAGGCAACTGGGCCAGGCTGAGAATAGTATCTTGCACTTGACAATTTACTTCTAGCTCACAGCAAAAGGTCACGCAAGGTTCAATCAATTCCTGAGCAGTTCTCCATGGGTTTTCTAAGTGCCCTAGTTTCCCACATGAACCTAACATATGCACAGATAATCCTCCAGCTATAGTTCTGACCACGATCGCTCAAGATTTCAAAATAGGTCTGGGCACAGGTGTTACACAGCTCCTGAATACTGACACTACAAACTTGATTTTGTTACTAAGGAATAGACTTGATACTCAATACAGACTCCCATAACATAATGATAAAAAAAAAAAAAAATCTACTATTTTCAACATTAAACTATGCACTTTCTTTTCATTTCTGTCCTTTTTTAGTATCAAAACTTGCTCAAATTTGTGTCTTATTTCAATACTAGTTTAATTATCAATAAGTATCTGCTTTTTTGATGCTTTTGATCAGTGGTCTAGTGGGGATTTTTTAAGTGGAGGTAAGCGATTTGTGACTGAACCAGGAGGACAAAACCAGGACTGAACCAGGATTAAACCAGGGCTAAACCAGGGCTAAACCTGGACTACACCAGGATTACACCAGGTTTAAACCAGGACTAAAATAGGTCTAAACCAGGACTAAACCAGAACTACACCAAGTCTCAGTTTTGGTTTAGTCCTGGTTTAGACCTTGTTTAGCAGGACTAAACAAGGTCTAAACCAGGACTAAACCACAACTGAACAAGGACTGAACCAGGACTAAACCAGGTCTACACCAGGCCTAAACCTGACTAATCTTGGACTTGAGAGCGAGAGGGAGAACCCCAAGCCCGTGGACCAGCATGTCCGCAAAGAGCAATTGGGCAATGGCTGTGCTTAGCCCTGTGGGGCACAGAGCTCTGCGCCGGTCCTTTCTCCTGCGGTCACCCGACAGTTTACACGGGCGCATCTCCGGGCCCGTCTCAACACTCAGTCCTGGTTCAGTTATGCTTTAGACCTGTTTTTGACCTGGTTTAGACATGTTTTAAGCCTGGTTCACTTCTGTTTTAGTTCTGTGTTAGTCCTAATTTAGTCCTGGTTTAGTTCTGATTCAGACCTGGTTTAGACCTGGTTAAGTCCTGATTCAGTCCTGGTTTAGTCCTGGTCCCTCATGTCTCAGGTCACTAGAGGACAGTACTGCAGATATCATGAGCCTCTGCAGGTTGTTTTCACCATTGCCAATAGCTTCGGTTT